GGCCCCCCCCTAAAAATGTTGGGAAGGACCCAATTTCCGGGAGGCCGGGGGGGGAGGAAAGAGAAAAAAAAAGCCGGCCCGGTGAAAACAGAGACCCAAAAAAAAAGTATTTCTTGGATTTTAGACCTTTGAGCTTTCCCAGAAGTTATTTGGCCAGCAAGATTAAGGGTCCCCCCCTCCCCCCCGGTGGGGACAAAACTCCGGGGGCCCTGGAAAACGCGGGAGGGGGACACCCGTTATTGGGGGAGGCCCCGGGGCCACTTCGGGGGCCCTTCCCCCAGGGGGGTCCGAACCAGACTTCGGGGGTGGAACCGTTATTGGAGGGGTTCGGGGGAGGGGAGACAAGGAGGGGGCGGGGGGGGGGGGGGGGGGGAGGCGCCGGTGATCCGAGCAGTATGGAGAACAAGAAGCGTGATAGAACGCAGGGAGAGCAGAGGACGCACATCGCGTAGATTGACCAGAGACACGTAAACTGGTGGAAGAGACTAGTCTGGCCGTTCGCTTTCTCCCGCTTCCATGCCTGTTTCTGTTCTCGATTTCGCGCTTCGTCGTGTGCTGCCTGCGTAAATGAAGTGTTCGCCGCCGTTAAGGGTCGTTCGTTTTTCCTGCACTGCTGTCGCTGATGTTGCTCTTGCTCTTGCCGTGCTGCCGCCGCAGGAGTGCCACATCGACCTCAGGAAGATGGCCCGGTTCGCCGACGTCGGGCTGGTGCACACCGAGGCCGTCGGCCTAGACACAAACAAACGCCTCATCCATTGCAAGGACGGCCGCCCCCCCATCCGGTACGACGTGCTCTCCATCGACATCGGATCCACGCCCAAGTTCGTCGAGTCGCGGGCGAGTACACTCAACTTTCGCGCACTAGTGTTGTGCGGATTTGGGGTTGCAACCGGTCTTGGGGAAACGACGACCGGGGTTAGAAGAAGTTATGAAATAGAGCGGAGACCTATTGGTATGCCAATAAACCGCCATTTCTCATTCTCGTAGGTTTTTGTCAATCCGACGGGCTGTTTGTACACGCCGAGGCCGCGTGCCTCTCGTGAATCTTGTCCCGCGACTCCCTCGCCGTGATTCGTCGCATGTGTTTCCACCTACCCCACCCTCAACCAATATTCTGTTGGTTTCACGGACAAAATGTTGTATTTGTTTTTCAGAACCCCATGGAATTGAAGCGCGTGACGCGAGTGAAGCCCATCGACAGCTTTAGCGCTCGCTGGGACTCGATCGTCGAGAGGGTGTTGGCGGGATCGCAACGGCAACAGCAGCAGCAGCAGCCTCCGGCAGCGTCACGCGAGAACGGGGGCACGCAACTGGGACAGAGTTCTGCCGCCTTGCTTACCAACGGTTCGTCCCGTGAGTGTTATATCTTCCCGGTCGTGAATATTACCGCTACATGTGTTCAGAGCGTGTTCATTCAGAAACCAGTTTGATCGGCAGGAAGCAATTGTTTTTCATTTTTTTTTTTCGTGTCTTGGATTCTCCCCTCTTGACGAGGGCCTGCGTGCGCGATGCTACTACATTTTACCTGTAGAAATCTGGTTCTGTTCTCGTGTGCGGCTGCGCCGGAGTGGGAAGGCGCTTCCAGGTGCTCTCCCTCGCTCTCGCTCTTCTTCTTCGCCGGTCCCACCATGTCCCGGTCCTGTTCTCACCTTGTCACACGTCTGTCTCTTTGTTTCCCTTTGGGGTCCGTCGCACCGGGCGGGTGCCGGGGTTGGGCGTGCGGGGGGATCACGTGCAGCGGCCAAGGTTGTCGTCGTTGGCGGTGGAGCTGGGGGCGTGGAGCTCGCCCTCGCGATGCAGTACCGTCTGAAGGAGCTCTTCCGAGAGGCTGGGCGCGACCCGGACATGGTGGTCGTCGAGATCGTCAACCGCGGAGAGGTGGTGCTGTCCTCGCACAACAGGTTTGTAAGAACTTCGCGCGGTTTTGACCCTCTATTTTTTTTTTGTTGCTTGCTGGTGTGGTGCAGCACTCGCGTTTTCTGGTGGGTGCGCGCGAGCTCAAGCCTGCCCGCTGGGCGGCGCGCGTTGACGTGCTTTAGTGTCCCTCTTGGTAGGGCACGCTATTATAGTTTCGAGCTGTATAACACCGACCGTAAACACTTCCAGGTAGACTTTTTCCGTTCGCTTCATCCCCCCGCTTGTTGCCGGACTACAACGAAAACGACTCAGTTGTTTTGACGAGGCTACGGGAGGAAAGTCGAAACTGCTTCTCGAGATACAGTTTGAGGCATCCACCGCATCCACCCCAGAGGAACCCTTCTGCTTGATGCCTGGCACTGAATGGTATGACGTTCATTGCTTGTACCAGTCCTCTGTAAAGGGCTTCGGCTGGTATGGCTGAGCACGCTCCGGCGGCACCCCTGACGCCCCCCCTTCCCCCAGCGCCAGTAGCCCCGCTCCACAGGGTGGGAATGGTCGTATGGTGCTACTTGTACAGCCATGCACCAACAATGCACCTCCCCCTCCCCCCCCCCGTCCTTCCCACGTGCACACCACTCTCCCACTCGCACTGCTCTGTTACCGCTGGCACTACCCTGCTAAAACGCTACCGCTGGGCAATGCACAGGCGGGTCCAGCAGACGTTCAAGAGAGTTCTGTCCGAGCGCAAGGTTGGGGTGCACACCGGCAAGGAGGTGGTGGACGTCAGGGATCCGCCCGAGGGGGGCGAGTCAGGCGGGACAGGGAGCCTGGTGTGCACGGACGGGACAGAGGTATGTTTAGGGGTACCCTGTGTCTCTCGATCCCCCGCCCCCGTCTTCTCCTGCCTGTGCTGTCTGTCTGCCCGTCTGTAGTTTGCGTACCTACATCTGTCTGCCTTTCTTCCTGTGTACCTGTTTCTGACTACTGTCTTTCGCTGCGTCGGTCTGTCTCCGTGTGTCGTTGTCACTGCCTCTTGTCTCTTGTCATTCCTACGGTACACCACCTGTAAACAAGCCCCCCCGGTATATGTGCGTGCTGAGAGACAGCTGCTCCATCGGCGTGCCCGTCCTGGCATCACCCTTGCTCTCCCTCGGCCATCTTCACACACACACACACCCCGTACATGTCCACCACATCCTTCACACCCCGCTCCTCCCTGTTCCCTCTTGTGTCTTCCATTTTGCACGTGTACACAGATTCCGTTTTCAGAAGCCATCTGGTGCACCAACAGCGGCGCGGCGAAGTGGCTCCTCGACACCGGATTGGCCCTGAATGAGCATGGCTTCATCGAGGTGCATACACACGTTTGGATCTTTCTTTTGATGTGAGGTACAGTAACTAACATCGATTTGTTTTTTAGGAACATCATGTTCTTTCACTGTGATGTTGAACGTCCCACTCCGTCCCAACCTCTTTTGTGCGGTTTTCCATGCTCGCTCGACAGGTTAACGACTTCCTGGAGTCAACCAACACCCCGGGGGTGTTCGCGGTGGGCGACTGCGCACACATGGTGAACCATCCACGGCCGAAAGCGGGAGTGTTTGCCGTTCGACAGGTAATGTTTGCGGTGCCCAGTTGCACTTGACGGTGATGATGATCGGGGATTTTTAAAATCGCGACTCCTCCGAATCCTCTAAAACCTATTTTCCTACCCGTATCCCCATATCCTTGCTTGGTTTACTTCAGTTGCTACTACTGTTGTTGGTGATGTATGGTGCAGTGTCAGACAGCCTAGACGTTCGTTCGCTACATACAATTGTTTAACTCCAAACGCACGAAACACGCAAGGGGGGTTGTAGCCTTGCTGGAAGTTGCTCCTAATTGCGTTGGCGTTTGCCCGTAGACCTCGACCACGCAGATCGACAAGAGTTGCGGCCTTTCGTAACCTCAGCGGATTTTCAAAGCCCATCGATATCGTTCGTTCAGCAACAACAATGCTAGTAGCACCCGAAGCTCTGCTGCACACATGATCAACCCCATGCAGAACGGTCTACACATCACGGCCTTACCCCCGCCACCGCCCCCACCCCGGCACAAATTATGATACCGAGGGAATAGGGACCGCCCTTAGCGGAGAATCTCCGACGAATGCTGGAGGGACGCGCGATGAAGGGTTTCAAGCCGCAAAAGGCTTTTCTAGGTCTTATCAGCACGGGCGATGAAACCGCCGTGCTGTCTTGGCGGGGCTTGGCTTGGGAGTCGTCGAGGCTGTGGACGTTCAAGGACTTCATCGACCGGAAGTGGATGAAGAAGTACAAGGTGCAGGAACCACTACGGCACCTGTGGAATTCCCCGTCGTAGGTAGCTTTGAACCTGGCGGTTGTCTTCTCAAACAGTACTCCTACTCCACTGAAGGTGTCATCGGCCTTCCTCCTGATGTTGGTCCAAGCGCGGCCAGAACGCCACCCACCACGTCACTGCTCCTGGGCGACATCCTTTACGTTGTACAGAGTATTGAACACCCTTTTCATGCCAGCATGTCCCCGCCCGCCCCGGCCCTCGTTTATGTCCTACCCTCGGTCACCAGGAGTTGCCGCTCATGGACGATGTAGGGAAGGACTCTTCGTCCTTGCGTCCGACACCGCCGCCGCGAGCGGTAGCCGCGGCCGGACCCGCGGCCGTGGAAGCCGTCCAGAACGCCAGCATGAGGTGCGGGGGCTGCGGCTCCAAGGTCGGCGCAGGGGTGCTCGGGCGAGTGCTGTCGCGCCTTGGCGTGGCGGGTGGGCTCGACGACGCCGCGGTGGTTGCGCCGCCTTCGGAGCCGGGGGCCGTAACGGTCCACACGGTCGATTTCTTCCGGAGCTTCGTGAGCGACCCGTTTGTCTTCGGGCAGATCGCTGCCAACCACGCGCTGTCGGACGTCCACGCCATGGTGAGGAGCTAGTGGGACAAGGGAGGGGGGTGCAGTTTGAGGTCGTTGTCAGGAGGCGTAGGCCGCCCTCGCTGCCGGGACGAAGCGCGTGTTGCTTTACCTTTACTTAGCACGCATATTGCACAAGTTCGTGTGTGGGTAGTGAGGCAGGCGCAAGAGGATGCGTTGGTGATGATGTCCTGTAAGTTCGCACAATCACAAGCGGGTCAATCTGACTCATTTGGGCGAGCTTGCTCACTTGGAAGCGACGGGAATGTGCAGAACCTATTAATGTCTGTACTAGTTTTTACCCCCGAAAGGTAGCGCCGGTGGTCTGTCTCACCATTCACTACAGCATGTAACAATAACCTCTGCAAATCGTTTTTATCTTCATCATGGTCTTCACTGTGCTTCGTTCCGCACCTGTGAAGTGACCGACCCCCCCCCCCCCCCGCTCATGAAATCTCTTCGTCCCCTCCCCCCCCCCGCCAACTCTTGTGTTCCCGACATCCGGGTGCAACCCGATAGGGGGCCGATCCTTCAACCGCGCTAGCCATTGCGACCATCCCCTTTGGGGGAGAAGCGCAGGTCGAGGGCACCCTTGAGCAGCTCCTGGCGGGCGCACTGAAGACCCTCAAGGAGGCCGGCTGCTCGCTGGTGGGCGGGCACACCTGCGAGGGCGCGGATCTCGCGCTGGGGCTGAGCGTGAATGGCGTGGCTCGGGGAGGGGCACGGTCGCTGCTGACGAAGGGGGGAGCCGCGCCTGGCGACGCTTTGGTGCTCACGAAAGCGGTGCGTCTTGGGTTGTGTGCTATAATATACATGTGCTCGGCGTGTTTTTCGGTCGTGTGCCGTCTGGTGTTTTGGGTCTGGTGTGTGCTTGAGGTGTGTAACTTGCTCCTGCTGGGCGTGGGGGTGGTGGTAGAGGTTAACTTGGGTATTGTCTTCTGTTTTGTTGCACCAAGCAAGAGCAGGACATGTGACACCTCCACCCCAACCTTCGAAAGGATGTGAAAAAAGACACGATCGGAGGGAAATACGTCAGAGCCACCGTCAAGCAATTGCTCAGATACTCTCTCCTCTGCTGCTGTTGCCGTTGCCGATAGTGCCCTTCCACCACAAAACCCACTCCCCTGCGCACTCGCTTCACCTGCTGATCATTTCAAACATTTTCGCCCTAGAACACCGGCTTGTAGAGCGCTCTCTTGGCGTACAACAACAGTTCGATGAAAACCCAGACCTCTATCCATAAACGCCGACCGACAACGAACACGCAACAGGTCGGGACCGGCGCCATCCTCGCGGCCGAGATGCGAGGCCGAGCCACCTCTCCCTGGCTGCAGCCGGCGGTGCGCTCCATGCTGCAAAGCAACGGGCCGGCGGCGACGGTGCTCCGAGACCACGGCGCGAGGGCCTGCACCGACGTTACCGGGTTCGGGGTGGCCGGGCACCTGGCGGAGATGTTGCGGGGCTCCCCCGTGCAACGCCGCCCGTCGTCGTCGTCTTGCCCGCCGGACGGGGCGACAAAGACGGCAGTGCCAGCGTCGCCTTCGAGGGCTGTCAGTGAAGGAGGGGGGGGGGGAGTGAGGACGAAAGAGGTGTGTGTGTGTGTGTGTGTGTTTGCCGCTAGTGCTGGGCGTTCGTCACGTTTTTCGTAGATGTAGCTGGGTGTCCGACAAACCGCTACTGGGGACGATCCGGACGGCGTGAGCTGCGATGGTATGATGGCGGCCAGGGAAATATGCCTGCTCAAGGCCCCAAAGGGTACTTGGCCTAATTTGTTCGTACTCTTTGGGTACGTTTTGTACGGCCCCTGCGTTGTTTTTAACGCACTGTACCGAGTGGCGCGAAACACCGTGCCGAAATTAACCTCTTGCTTGACTTATCCCCCCCCCCCCCTCAGCACTGCACCATTGCACCAACCCCCCGCGAGCGATGACATGCATGGGCTGGCTCGAGTGGCCCACTTTGTCTTGTGTTGTTTTGTGTTGTTCTGTTTGTTTGTTTGGTGTTTGTCGCTAAGGCGTGTGTCTTTCTCTGTCTGTGTCTTTCTCTTTCCCTTTGCTTCTCTCCATCTGCTCTATTCCTTTTTTTTTCTTTTTCTTTTTCCCTTTCTCTTTCTTTTTCTTTTTCTTTTTATTTTTTCTATATTTTTCCAATCTATAGGGTTACCTCGCATAGCGTGCAGAGAGGCGAGCGGAGTGACCTAGACTATCTGTCGTTGACTTTTATTGGCTTGCGCCCCCTTCGGGTCCATTTTATTTTCGTATACATTTTTTTGGGTAAGTTAGCCTGTGACCACGGGACTCGACCCCGTCAAGTGTTAGACTAGTACGGACAGAAGAAGGTACTGAGCAGAGAGAACGGAACGGTTTTTATTGTGAAGACAACAACAACAACAACAACAACAACAACAACAACCCCCACCAATGGTTTGCGTGTGGGCCCCTCCTTTCTTCCCCCCCCCCCCGCCATTGTCCCGCTTGCCGCCATCAACGATGCTGCATCTCATCCCAGGAGGGGGCGGCATCGCCAAACGATGCGCCGCCCTCGTCGCTGCCTCTTAACGCGGAGCTTAGCTTGCAACTGCTGCCTGTGCTGTCCGGCGCAGTAGAGGCCGTGGGCGCGGGGATCGTGTCCTCCCTCCAGGGTCAAAACGAGAGAGACAACGAGGGAGCGGTGGTGGCGGCGGCGGCAGCGGCGGCAGGCGGAGGCGATGCTGTAGATCCGGGCGTTGGGAAGGACCCGCGGTTTAGGTTGTTGTTTGACCCTCAGGTATGGATGTGGGAGGCAAGGGTTGAGCGCGCTCTTGTTTTTTGCTGCTCGGTGGACATCAGCTCTACGGCCGTGGTGTGCCTCTGCCACTGGAGAGTGACATGCGTGATGGTAGAGTGCGCTGGACTCCTACACTTGCTTGTAGCTGCTGTAGGGGGCGCCAGTCGAGCCGGAGGCGCCTCAAGGCGTGTACATTAAACCGGCGAAGATGTTGGTAAAATTTGTTTTCGGCTGTTTCTTTGTCGTGCACACCGAAGCTACCGCTTTCCACCCCGTCCACGCACACGCACCACGACGCCCCCCTTTCTTCTCTCACTTTCTTGCTCCCCCCTCTACCCTTGCGCCAACCGTTGACCCCCTTCCGTGCCTCGTGGTTTATTTGCTTGCGCCCGGGTCTCGACGGATGGGGCAGACGGCGGGGGGGTTGCTGGCATCGGTGCCACGAGATCGGGCCGTGGCATGCGTTTCGGCGTTGCGACAGGCGGGGTACGAGGCTGCGGCAGTCATCGGGTCGGTGACGGTGAGTATGGAGAGGAAGGGCCGCAGAGGAGATGAGGCCATGCTGTTGTCAAGAACGGTGTTTTGCGGATTACAAGGGGGCTACGGAACTAGTGGTGATCTCTTCGGCGGTTTCTCGTTCTTTCGTCATCTGATGATGGCAAGGGTGACATGGGTTCACCTGTAGAAACCCTTCGTTGTTTCTGCATCCGCCCCCCTTTCCCCCCCAGCCTCCGCCGTGCCCTTGTTGGCGGCCGCTATTGTTGCTTTTACTTCTGAGACGACGTTGCCGTTGTTGCGTTAGTCTGTGCTCGTGCCGATCGTTAACTTTAACGAGGTACTTGCGTGCGTGCATCCATGTCGCCACCCGTGAGTGGTGGGCATAAACACAGACTGGGTCTCTGACCGATGGCTGCCTACCCTTCTCACCCCCCCCCTCATTTGCCAAAACCCTTCATTTGATTCAGGAAGCGAGACATGAAGGAGAAGGAAGGCGCATCCATGTGGTGTCGGCAACAACAGCGCCAGCAGCGGCGCCAATGGATCTGACCAAGTAGCTGGAACCGGTGTGCGATGGTTTGCTGCGCTGCGCTCCTTGCTGATGTCCATTGGTCGGATGTGGCCTTCTGTGACACCGCAATGAACATGTTTCTCTCGTCGGGCGTAAAGAAAGATACTCGGAGAGGGGGCAGGACATGGGCGTTTTGAGGTCTGGACAAGGCAACGACCAAAGCAGCGTGCGCGAAAGAGTGGGGGAGGCATAGAAGGACCGAGTCCGCCAGAAGCTGTGTCGACGCTGAAATAACGTCAAGCGTTCACCTGACCGGGTCTAGATGGGGCGAGACGTGCTGCCCTCGACGCTGAGGAAAAGGGGAGGTGTGCTCTCGGCCACATGGCTAGCCAGCAGGGGGTTCGTAGCGCTCAGATGTCAAATGTATCGCCCCTCCTGCGGGAAGGACCTAACCGGATGGGGAGGTCGCACGTTGCTACGGCCCTGCAGACCGAAAAGAACGGAAGGGGCTGCGAGGATCTGTTATCAAGGAGGGGAAAAGGCTGCGATATCGAGGATCAAACAGAAGTAATCTGCATCTGTGGCTCCCCTGCGTGATACGGCGGAAGAATGTTTTATGGACGGTAGCCGGAGTAATCGAGAAAGCGTTCAGACCTACCAGCAAAGGTTATGACCCCGGACGGCGATGAGAATGGCCGGTTTTCTCCGTCGAGCGGGAGACAGTTGTACGTTCTTTGATGTGTTGTTGGACAGAGTGATAGACTGTTGTGCAGACATCGGGTGGTGGTGTTTTGCAAGGAAGAATTCGGACCCCACCAAATGGGCCTATTATAATAGTGTTTTCTGGGCTGGCTCTATCCGAGCACACCCCGCTTTGGCAGCGGGCCGCAGGGTTTAACGTGGAACACAAGCGTCACCGCGCCCGTCGTACTGTAGTAGAGGGCGGCATTGCCGTTTCCATCTCTTAGTGAAGTGCGCGATCTTCTTCCATCCTACATGCCACTTTGCCTGTGGAGGCCAAGTCTAACGTGCGTGCCGTGCTAAGCGTGAGGCATGTGCCAAGCGCGCTGTTCAGTACCTCGACACAGCATGGGGGTGTGACGGGCTCAACATCTTCCATTAGGAGAAGCACAAAACAAACCCAAAAGAACTACGACGCCTCGCTATGTTAGTGTTTAAGCACAGGGAGGGGGGCTATACGGACGCTGACGACAAGAAGATAGGGAACTTGACGATCGTCCCTCGTTGGGGGCGGTATTTATTGGTCTACCGCGCGATGAACGATCGACGAACGAAGCGGCATTTATCCGTTTTGACAACGGCGGATCGATGGATGTAAAATATCCTGTTGTCCATCCACACAGGGAAGAACAGGGAGCCCGTCCGTCGATTTCCGTGAAAACATAACCTTAGACTGGTCATTTGAAAATGTGTAAGGCCGATTGCCTCATGTCTGTGTGTACTTCGTGTGCTTTGGACGTGTGCTATATACTAATGTGTTCAAAGAGAGATATCGGGTGGGTTCGGCGAGACTGTCCGCGGGGATGGCACCCTAAATTTTCAAAGAGGCGTTTTGGCATATCAGTCCTGCATTCCTGCCGGCCGCCACCGCTGCGCTTCGGCGCTTCGGCCCAGAAGTGATCATGACAGCCAGTGGGGAACCATGTGAAGCGTTGGAATCAGCTATACCGGGAATCGTGCATCACGGTAAGCTGGTCGGGTGCGAGAAGAAACCTTGTTGATTGTTCATGCTTGGAGAAGGGGTGTCCTCACACTGTAAGTCTCTATTGAACCGGTACAAGTAGTTCTTGCGTGTGTGGGGACCACTATACTATACGCTGTGCCATCGTGCCACGAAGTACTAGGTTACTCTCGGTGTAGGCCACTTAGATTCAAAACTTGTTCCCGAAACTTTTCCCTGGCGTTCGCGAGGACGGCAGTGCCTAGGGCCTCTCGGCGAATCACCTCACGGGATTGAGCGCACGGTTTCGGATGGGGTATATATGTTGGTGCTCCGGGGTGAGTGCCTCCCGCCCCGCGTAGGTTAGTGGCCTGGAGGATGGGTGAAAGGGTTAACAAGGAATAGCAGTGCTGTTCGTGTTGTCCGAAGTAGTCATGTTGTCCGAAAACGCCGGTCCGAGGTGTAAAAGTGTAGCCATACGTGCGAGCGAAGCAGGACACCTGCGGGAGTGCGACTAAACTTGGGGTGAATGTTGAACTGCAGGCATTTCGGCATGTGGTGTGAGGGTTCCGGCCCCCAAGACTGTATGTATCGTAGGCGTTGCTGTTGTGCTGTTCAACCGACCATTTGTTTTTAGTACTGCGTTTGTTGCACCTTCTTCGTTGCTGTACGTCATGTGGAGGTGTGATGTACAATTTTTGACGTTCTGTCATGTACCCAGCATGTCAGAAAGTCTTCGCGAAGAGAGTCTGTTGTGTGTTGTGCTTGTCTAGCGGGACAATACGGCGGGTGTGTGCGTGTTTTCTTGCTCTAAAGGGAGGTGTGATTTGCCGGTGATGAATGGTGTGGAAACTGAGCGAGTCCGGTGTGGCAGTAGAGCCAGTTGGACGAAGGAACGGCGGGGGTGGCGATGGCGCCATGTCCCTCGAAGTAGGAGATGGTTCAGGAATTTCCACTGACGTTGGAACCACCTCACCGCTCTTGTCCTCGGATGCTTGAGGAAAACAGCACGCGCAAGAAGCAGCATGAGCGAGCGAGTGTTGTGAACCTGGACCCTATGTATGGAGACATAGGCTGGCGTTGTCACTGCTGTCAACAGTGCCATTGACGGGGCTGTCGACGGAGCCTTGAACCCGCGAAACGAAGGGTTCTGCGTTATCTTCCAGTTCGTCGTTTAGGGCAGAGACGAGAGGGGGCGTCTATTAGATAAAATTAGACCATCTGATCAGTCAACATTGACTTATCAGATGGTCTAATTTTATCTAGAAAAAATATGCTCAGAGCTCGTTAGCACCTGGCCGGAACACATATCTCCCGGCCGGAACACTTTTCTTTGCGTAAAATTACCATTGCAAAACAGCAACGTCTGGCGAGGGGTCCGCCCCCGGAGATCCCTACTCTCAATCCCAGTGATTAAGCCATAAGCCCATGTGTTCCGGCCGGGTGCTAACGAGCTCTGAGCATATATTTTACTAGATAAAATTAGACCATCTGATAAGTCAACGTTGACTGATCAGATGGTCTAATTTTATCTAATAGCGTCCCTGTTGTTGTCATTGTCATTCAACGTAAGCATATTTTGCAAAGTGGAGCTGAACTACACTTATCGAATCGACGAGGATGTCCCGTACAGTTAGCTCCCGCAATTAAGTTTTTTAAGAAAAAGAGGCTCACTTTTCCACGAAAAATAAGAAAGTACGGTTAAGAAATGGCTCAGTCTGGGTCACACAACAAGAAATGTCTCAATAAGAAACAGCGGCGACCGCTGCCCTACTACATAAGAAACGAGGGGTTACGGGAGAGTGTGTCGAATAAGAAACACCCCACAGCTCCTCCTATCTCTCGCTCTTTCCCCCGTCTCCCACTACCCCACCCCTCCCAAGTGCATTATTAGTTGTACGACGAGGGGGGAGTGTTTTTTTTTTGCGGCGCCCCCTCCGGCCACCTGCCGTCTCTGGCGCTCTCTGGCGCCCCGGCTCTGGCACAGCACACCAGACAGGCTGCGAACCACGACACGCTGTCTGCTGTACGGTTTTGATGGTGCTCTCCGCCAGCTCTCGTGAGCAGAGAAAATAAGAAACTGCCGACTAAAGAAATTCCGCAGGATTTGGCGGCACGAAAAAATAGGAAACTTGACACAAGAAATTGAACGACATACCCTGAGTTTATAATAGCCCACAATAAGAATTCGAGGCTGGACCTGAAATAAGCGTTTCTTAATTGCGGGCGCAACCTGTATGCATTGAAAAGTGAACATGGGCCTCCTGACAGCGGGTCAAGTAGATAGGATCAAGTGCTCTTACCGAGGGAAGGGTTTGGAGGCAGTAAAGGTCTGACAGAGAGCAAGAGATAAGTGAGAGCGTAAAAGCAGGTTGCGCATGCAACGCAAGGTATGTAGAAACATGTGGTCTGTGAGCAATACAGCAGAAAGCAACTTGGTAGTAGAAGTGAGTCGACCTACACCTTATATATATAGTGCTTTGCTGCTAGCAGTAGAAGTTGATATTCCACATATTAGTAGGAATCACAACGAGGTCAGGAAACAGCAGCAAAGAGGATCAATATCGCAAGCCAGTGTGGTGAAATGTGGACAGTTTGTCGAAGCTCAACTTCGACTAGGTCCTCTCGCTTCGCTTCGTCAGATGCTGGTGATAGCTGACCAAAGGCGGCCGGCAAGAAGCACAGTTTCACGATATCCCGGAAAAAACGACGTGGTTTACCGTCTAGATGGGATAACCAACCAATGGCATACCAGCGCTCTTTTGGTGTGGCTGATCGGTTGAAGAGTTGCACACGTACTAATCTTCCCTGACGGCAGCAGTATCCAATGTGGTGGTGGTGAAACTGCTTGCCTGCTGACCCTTACGACCGCCATCGGGCAGCAGGCCCCACAGGCATCCCGCCTTCCCGTGGATGATGTGTACTCCGTCCGCCTTTCGCTGCTGTGGCGGAGGCTCCAGTCGATACCACCACCACTGGCGCCTGTTGCTCTCTTCGCAAAGCATTTGATATGATGCATAGAATCTGTATCGCCTAGGACAGTATCCCAAACCTAGTGGCACGACCACATAGACGCCACAAAGGCGACGGTCCCGAAGCCACGCAACGGAAAGTTCGGATCAAGCTTTTAGAGGTCACCTATTACAAACCAACTTCTGGCGTTGGCGACACATTTGTCGCGGGTAGCGTCGCATGCCGCTTCTTGTCGGGTGCTGCGACTCGGCAGTGGACCATATAGCAAGCCTAGCTACTGTCAGAAACAACACATGTATCGGAGATACACTACTACAACAGCGTATCCAACCAAACGGGCATCCCTCCAAATACGTTTTTTTCCGCGAAAGTACTGTAACGCCTGGCATTGGAAAGTAGACTTCTCCTTCAAAACAAAGACAAGCTCTCTGAAAATCAGGATCGGGTTCGTTATTCATTGTGTGCGCAATATATATATTTCCGAACTGTATTTTGAAAATGTGTCGTCCTGTCTCAACATTGGGCTCGAGATTGACCAACCGGAATGCCAAACAATGATCGATGTTTTTACAGCAAGTGTTCGCTGTGACTCACAACACCCTTTCATTGATGCCCTGCTTCGCGTGTTATACGACCAAACACAGTTTCAGCCGACTACACTGCGAAAAGAAAAGTCGCTGGCTCGGATGTGGTGAGTAAGTGAGGGAGGGAGGGAGGGAGGGAGGGAGGGAGTAGACGAGTGACCAGCATGCGTTCAACGTTTCGTCGGCCCGCCCGCCCCTCCATCCGTGACAGTGTTCGTTCACGTTCGCTTGAGACTTATCCCGCCGCGTGATGTGTGCATAGACTAGTCTACATACGAGTAGCTCATACTCGCCGTTGTTGCTATTTTACCCAAGTCAGGTATCCAACGAGGTGCCGCTGGATGTTTTGTTGTCGGCAACGTGAGGAGCGTGCCACCTTTAAAGACTACCAGCAGGGAGCATGTGCACGAACCACACCTGCTCGTCTTCACTTTCTACTTAGATCCAAAACTGTTGTCAACGCTCCCCAAAAGCTGCGCAGTTCTCTGTGGTCTTCAAGTGTCATCAATGCAAAGCGACGTTTTGGGATTGTAGACGAAACACTTACTACATAGAACGAACGTATTATTCTATTTCGTTTGCGTCTCGTCCTTTCGACACTAAGTAGGTGTTTGTGGCGACTTTTTTTTTCCTATTTTGCTGCGCTCTCGAGGTAAATAAGATGAACTCAGAGCGGTTCGGATTCGAAACGTGCCCCAGCTCAATCGGTCGTGCTCAACCACATTTCATTTTTCAATACAGATTTACATGGTGTAGCACCCCGCCGAAACCTTTCATTCCTTGCCACGTCTCGTGATGGCCCCGCAGATTTTGCTCATGGGGCAGTCGAACATGAGCGGTCGAGGACAAGGCTACGACGCAAACATCGACGGCCCAAACGACCCTCGCATCCAGCAGTGGTCGCGGGCCAACACGGTCATCACGGCGTCGGAGCATCTCCAGCACGCCGACTTCGCTATCGTCGAGGAAACAAGGGTGGGCATGGGCACCGCCTTCGGACGCGCCTACGTCGAAACCCTGCCGGCGAAACGCAACGTGCTGCTCGTGTCCACCGGTTACGGGGGCACCCGGCTGGTGAACGGTCCCTGGTCGCCGGGAGGGAGATTGTTCGAAGATGCCGTGAGGCGTACGGAAGCCGCGCTCGCAAGCAACGGGGCGACCGGGAACTGCGTCGCGGCCGTCTTATGGCACCAGGGAGAATCGGATGCAATCGCAGGGGTAGACCAAGAGACGTACCAATTCACCTGGACGGACATGATCAACACGCTGAGGTCTCGCATCCCGGCGGCGGCTGAAGCCCCGGTGATCTTGGGCGAGTTCACGCCTGCCTGGATCGCAGGGAACCGAGCGCTTTCGGAGCCAATTCTCTCGGCGATTCGAGCCATCCCTGACAGCGTTCCGTTCACGGTTGTAGCGCCCTCTGACGGTCTATCATCCAACTTCGGTGATCCCGTACACTTCACCGCGGCGGCTCAGCGCGAGTACGGGCAGCGGTACTTTGACAAGCTTGGCGACGCCGTCAGAAACAGCCAATGAGGTCACGAGACGGCTTCCTTCCGCGCACGGTCGCTTACGGTGCGAAGCACAGCGCGTACATCAGGGGACAGGGGGAGAAGGGACAAGGATGAACGACGCAACGAACTACCATGGATAGTTTGTCGTTGCCGGAAGGACTTCGAGGCCTTACGTAGCAGTGTTCGGCATTGAACCACTACTGTAGGTCATATGCTGTATTTCTCATCCAAAATAGCTACGCGCTTCGTTGAATTTTTTCGGGAGGTGACCCCCCCGGGATCAATGCGCATACGAAGATTGGCGACGATTGATATAAGTGTACTGCGAAGGACGCACGTTTGCGCAGGTGAACCGCAACACTACGGGATATGCCGCAACTTTATTCGACAGATTGACAAGTTACGTGACATTTATGTTTGAGCAGAGCCACTCCTCCTGTGGTTGTTGCTAGCTGCGACTCTAGCTGACGACCTGCTGAACCTCGTGTAATTATTGTAGTCTAGCTCTGTTTGATATTTGTTGCAAGAAGAAGACTTTTTCTTGTGTTATGGGACGGGTGTTCGGTTTCTTGTTGTGAGGGATTTGTAACAGCATGCCTTCCATCTTCATCATCAGCATGGTTTCATGACGGCGCTGATCGAGTATTTAAACATAACCGTGTGTGGATGGGCAAGGCATTGTTTGGAGTAGGGACATAGTACAGTCCCCGTGATTTTCGGGCCCAGATTTGGCTATTGGCAGAGCGAAAAGAAACGGGACCAGAGGTAACGGCATAGTCTAGGGCTCCGATATTTAGGGTGGTGCTCAAGGTACTCGTACCTTGCTGAAGAATCGACGGGCGAAGTAAATGCGAAAATACATCGCTGTAAGCTTGCAGCAACCGCTACGCGAGGGTCACCAAAGTGGACAAGGGTGTACATGTACCACGCTGGTGCTGGTGAATGGACATGCTTCACTTCATCCATCGAGCGCAGTTCTCATTATTTTGTCGTGCTGAAGAACAGAGGGGGCGGCGGGTGAGAGTGTTTGGCGAGGTGAGGCTCTCTCAGACAACACACGACAAGTAGACTATAATACGTTCGTCATTGGCCGAAGAAAAGGTAGAACGTGTGAGCGTGAACAACCAGCCGGTTTGACCGCGCTTATTTTCATTCTAGACCATGCCTTCATGTATGCACACAACGTTCCATGCCCGATTGGGTCCTCTGCAACACAAAGTTGTATTGTACAGTTAAATCGTCCCCGGCTGGAACGATTTTTTTCTGCTCTCTATAATAATACGAATAAGCGAGTTTCCCTGTACTCTTTTGAACGGAAAAGAGCTGCTGATGCTGCTGTGCTGTGTAATAGGATGTTCACCCACCCATGAATCAGCGCCTTCTACACACCGTGCTTGATGCTTCCTCTGAGGAGCCCCATGTATAAGCGAAGAAATTGTGGTAGACCGGTCCCGTGCACAAGGGCGACATCCGAGTGTTACACCGCATCCCACCTTGATCTACGTATCTACATGTAGATTTCGTGGAAGTGGACACGGAATTCCGCGTTTATTCCATGGATTCTTCAAAGCTTCCTCCCACCAAAAACATTTGTATCGCGACGCCGTGTATATTGGACCGCGGCCGCCCTGTTTCTTGAAAGACGTGTAGTGATCGCACAGCCCGGAATTCGGAATCATGCCCGACGAACCTGGAACAGCCCCGCCGAGCACGAACCACCAGGGTGAGTGGGTCGGGTACAGGGATTCTTGCTTTCTCTGCTCAAAAAAGAGGTGCTTGCAGGAGATTGTGAACGTGAACACAGGCTCTGCGAGAATCTTTCCGCTCAGCCAACCGAGGCCCAACTAACCCGTTGCTCAACTAAAAACTCTTTCCTGCCCTGCACCTTGCCTCTTGGATCCACCGCAGACTACCCGTGCGCCTTCACAACCGAACGCTTGTTACACCGAACCACCGAACGGCAGCATACATCTTCGCCCCGCGAAACTTCCTAGCAATTTCTTTGCAGCTCTACAACTACATCCGACCGCGGTTCGACTTTTCGAGAGCGTCACAACAACATCAAACAAAAAAAAGACACCACATTCGGCAGTATTCACCGCACCCTAATAACATGTACAGCTGCCCCAAGATTCATACGCGCCATGTGGCCCCTCGACCCGCCGATAAGTCTCGCCGATGTTTGTTTTTCCCCCGTGTTTGAGCTGTATGCGATAGAACTATATATACTGTTGCTGCCGCTGCTGTATGCGATTCGTTCAACATTAGACTATTACCTCATGTGACCAGTGGGGGCGTCGGGTGGGAGCGACCATACACACACATATTATGTACATCATCATCGACGGGCATGAATAGGTGGTTTGCTGCGGGAGGAGTTGGCGATACAAATATCGTTTTTGTTGTTGACGTGATGGTGCATGGTTGACAAATAGTTGCTGACTGCCGTTCGTTGAGTGTAGACGTAAAACCTCCGATTGATCCCAACAGGATGGGGCACGCACAAGGGAACGGAACCCCTTGCATTGGACTGTTCCATTGGACATGCACATAGATGTGGATGCGATAGCAACCCATTCTCTTTGGTGGTGGTGATGATTTGAAAGGAACGTCGAAACGAGCGTTATGTACTTGAAGTACTAGGCTACATTGCATTAGTCATGTGTAGAACTGGCACGTCGGACACCAATACCACTGTGGTTTATTCTGAAGAGTGCGAAAAGTGTACTGCTGAGTTTTCCCGCTTTACTCACACAACACACTCTTCCTCGTCCTGTGGCCCGCGTCTTACGCCTGTGGCACGAACAAGCTCAGTTTCAGCGGACTGCGCTGCGAAAAGAAACGTGGCTGGTTCAGATGTGGTGAGTGGTGGTGAACGCAGGACATACGATGCGCAATCTACTGCAGCAGCAGCCTATTTCTCTGTCACCGCATCCGTCGATCATTCGTCAGCTGTGTTCGTAGGTTCGGCCATTCGACGACGCTTGACCTGGTAAGAGGTGTAACCCTCGTGGTTTTCGTATCCTCCGTCTGAGGGTATATTGGTTAGTGACCGCACCCCCTCCGCTGCTGTGTGGCCTCGACAAAGCACGGAAGGTGTTATCATGAAAGGCTGCAGTAGGATGCCGAAGAAAGCACATGCGGTTGCCTCAAAAACCCCGCTCTCCGATAATCTCGTCATCTCGGCGAGGTTCTCCAACGCTCCACGAGGCACTGGACCAGAACATTCACATTCAACACCGCCAGACGCCGAGAAATATAAATCATCTTAAGTATTTGGCTTCAGGATGCTGCTTTCTCGTGATGAGACCCCCTTCTTCGCAAAGCGATTCGGATTCAAAGCATGTCGTTGGTCCTTCGATAACGACTTGGTACCACAACCCCAACCGCTCTTCTCTCCTCCTACTGTCTTCTCGGGGACACACGTGTCAAAGGTCTTGCTCATGGGGCAGTCGAACATGAGCGGCTGGGGCGAAGGCTACGACGCAGATATCGACGGCCCAGACGACCCTCGCATCCAGCAGTGGTCGCGGGCCAACACGGTCATCACGGCGTCGGAGCGCCTCCAGCACGCTGACTTCGATAGAATCGACCAAACAAGGGTGGGCATGGGCACCGCCTTCGGACGCGCCTACGTCAAAACCCTGCCGGCGAACCGCAACGTTCTGCTCGTGCCCACCGCATTCGGTGCCACTAGGCTGGTGAACGGTCCCTGGTCTCCGGGCGGGAACTTGTTCGAAGATGCCGTGACGCGTATGGAAGCCGCGCTCGCAAGCAATGGGGCGGTCGGGAACTGCGTCGCGGCCGTCTTATGGCACCAGGGAGAAGGAGATGCAGCCGGAAGGATCGACCAAGAGACATACCAATCCACCTGGACGGACATGATCAACACGCTGAGGTCTCGCATCCCGGCGGCGGCTGAAGCCCCGGTGATCTTGGGCGAGTTCACGCCTCACATGCTTGCAAGAAACCGAGCGCTTTCGGAGCCAATCATCGCGGCGATTCGAGCCATCCCTGACAGCGTTCCGTTCACGGCAGTAGCGCCCTCTGACGGTCTGTCATCCAACTTCGGTGATCCCGTACACTTCGACGCGGCGGCTCAGCGCGAGTACGGGCAGCGATACTTCGACAAGCTTGGCGACGCCGTCAGAAACTGCCGATGAGGTCACGAGACGGCTTGCTTCCGTGGATGGTCACTTACGGTGCGAAGCACAGCGTACATCAAGGGACGCGTGGAGAAGGGACAAGGATGAACGACGAAACGGATTGCAATGAATTGTTTGCCGTAAAGGCCGTACTTGCTAGTGTTCGGCATTAAACTACTAGGCCATGTACTCTGCATATTTCATCCAATAGCTACTGTATTTCTTCGTTGAGTTTGTACCGGGAGATCAAGGACACCTCCAGGATTAATGTGCATACGAAGATTGGTGACGAATGATGTACTGCGAAGGACGCAGGTTTGCAGGTGAACCGCTTGCTCTAGAAAACTCTCAACACTACGGGATCTCGAGTTGTCACCCTTGAGATTGACAAGTTTGGTGATTGTTGCACTTGAGCAGAGCCATTTTTCTTGTTGTTGGCTGCTATCATCTCTATTGTAGCTGACCTATTGGATCTCGTGCATGTAGTTCCAACCAAGACTTACGTGAACGCTAGCTCGACGGGGGACGAATCGAATTCAGGCAAGAGCTTCGACGGTGCGCCCGCCGTGGCGTCCTGGCCTCTCCCTCGTACGTCGACGACAGCCCAACGCTGATGGACCCGAACTATCCCCCTCACGCTCCCTCCCGACCCGTAGCGGTCTGACTCCTGAAGAGGGTCCTCTCCTCGAGGAGAAAGCGGCGGACTCGCGAATGCAGGAAAGTCGGCCACCGGTTGCTTTCATAGGTCCTGGTTGTTGCCAGGACGCGAGAGAGAGGGGGGAGGGGGGACGGGGGGAGGGGGGACGGGGGGAGGGGGGACGGGGGGAGGGGGGACGGGGGGAGGGAAGCGAGCTGTCAAGGGGAGCAGCACCCGTGTGTTGTGCTTAAGGCTTGACGCATTGACGTTTTGTTCACGGGGCTTGTTGTGCCTGGTTTATCGGCTATGTACGCTCTACTGTTGCACGTGTGAGAAAACAGGGAACAGGGAAACACAACGAAAACCCTTGGGGTGGAGAAGAGAATCCTGCATTGCTTCACACATCACGGTCACGTGCAGATTTGCGGAGCGTGGAGCGCGAGGCCAACCACAAGGGCGTGCCAGTCAAGCGAACGGTAATTCTGTCGGTGGTCAATTCTGTCGGTGGTCATGAGCGGCATACGGGGTATACATAGTTCGGTGTACATTCTTTATCGTTGATTGAGTGAGATGTTCGGACCCGGATAGGTCTTATGCCATTTCTGCTGTTGTTCGAGTGTTGAGTAGCTTTGTGCGTGGGTGCCTCGGCGCGGGGTCCCGTGACGGGAAGCAAAAGGTGCCAGCAGCTGGGTGCTGCCAACGGTAATAATGTAGAAACTATCCGCGGGCGTGAAAGCCCTCCTACGTGGTGGAGCGTGGAAGCTCGTGTATAATATAGTTGTGGCGTGAAATCCGGGTGGCGTGGAAGCCCTGATGTAAAGGTATATGTAGGGACGTGGGAGTCCTGAAGGCGTGGAAGCCGGGTTGGCGTGATAGCCGGAGTATGGGCGTGGAAGCCGGGGTTGGCGTGAGAGCCGGAAAAAGGACTTGATTATACACAGAAAAGGAAGTGAAGAACCACAAGCCACGCACACAAATTCCGTTGTAGACACCCATACCCTCAAACCTGCAATATGTGATAAAGTTGGTACCACCAAATCTAATCCATAGCAACTATTGAACCCCCAAACTCCCCGCTCCATCTGCTCGGAAAATTCTTGCTCGCAATAATCTGTTGATGCTGTGAGTATATCCAACATCGAGTGTGGGAGGCGTGCAATAGCCTGGTGTGCAGCTCAGAGTCACGTGATGCTGCGTCCCAGCGCTGCTGCTGAAGTGGATCCGTACCAACGGGAATTTTTTTCCAAGCTGGCATGGAAGCACCAACTCTTACACAGTTCCAGCAGGTGCGGTTTTGAGGCCGTTTCGTCCCAATTTTTTTTTCGCACGTCACGGCACGACTGAATCCAACCGCACAATGGACGCCAGTGTTGTACAATGGTACACAGAATCTCGCAAGCGAGCTACAGTATACCAGCGTCCACTGCTGCCGCTGTGGCTTGCGAGGTAAAACATATGCATGAGTTGAAGTTTCACATACCCGTAACAACACCCAACCCAAAACAAGGAGTTTCGAGCTCAATGCACGGCAAGCGTGCACCTCCTACCTGTTCGGCAACTTGCGTTCGGTGTCCGCCACCTTCCTACTGCTGTCCGTAACTACGGTGCGTAAACGAACACCTACAGCACCACAACAAGCAGCACCGGTGGTTACAAGGGTGTGGAGACGGAGAGAGAACAGCACGAAACAGTTTCAGAGAGGAGAATTCCTTGCCCACACACATACATGTTCAAACAACAAATTATCTGTTGCACCCCGAGCAATTTGGTCGTCGATGATGACCACAAGCCTTTGGCACCCGATCCAGGTCCCGTTTTGGCATTGGATCCCTGGCACCCCCGGAATCCCCCTAGCCACGACGTACATGTAGCCAGTCCTGCCTGTCGCCCTGTGTGGCTACATGTTGTGGGGTCGTAACGGTTTTAGACTGTCGCCCACCAGCAAAATAAAAAATAACAGCGCCAGCTCGTTTCGAACGCTTGTCTTCCACGGAGCAAGCAACTTCCAGCGAGAACAATCACACAAAACCCTCAGCTAACCTGCCATCATGCGCTCCCGGGCCGTACCTGGCAGCTGGTACCAGCACAAAATCAACGAGGAAGGATGCATGCGCAGCAACTGATCAGTATGGTGGTGCGTGATCCGTGATCCTTTGTGATCATGATCAAGGGGGATACGCACATACCGCATTTCGCATCGCATGGTCTTGATGTTCGACGTCGCGCACCCCCCCCTCCACATCCCACATTCCCAAAGGTTGCACAACATCCACAAAAAAATTCCTCGGGCCGGCGTGGGCGTGGAGAATTTTCCTTGGCGCTCCTCGACGATTTGGAATTGATTGATAAACCTTGTTCCCTTGCTCCTTGGAGTTACCACACGAGTCCTCGACCAGGCTGACCGGAGGGGAGATCGATACCATCGTCAGCAGCGTCAACCATGCCGTCACCATTCCGTACCAGTGCGGCACCAGCGCTGGTCCTACTCGCTGCTGCTACTCGCACAAGCTGCGCTTCCGCCCTTCATCTTCGCGACGGCTCCGTCCTGGAAGTCGACAGGGAGCTGCCCGGGCCGAACCTTGACAATGGAACCCCGACAAAGCTCTACTCGCTGTCGCTCGGGCGCGTGCGGCGCGACCACATGGCGAGCGCGGACCTTGCGTCAGCGATGGACGCCATGAGACGAGGCTGGCATGGGCACCGGTCACTGCTGTACACGATGTCGTTCGAGGAAACCCCGTTGTTCCTAGGGTACGGCACCCACTTCGCATACATTTACGCGGGTACCCCGCCCCAGCGGGCATCGGTCATCATCAACACCGGGAGTCACTTCTCCGCGTTCCCGTGCTCCGAGTGCAGGAGCTGTGGCAACCACACGGACCCGTACTGGGATCCCTCCCAGTCCAGCACAGCCCACATCGTGACCTGTGACGAAACCGAAAGATGCCACGGGGCCTACAAGTGGGCTGTAGTTCTTGTATGTGTTCTTTCTTCCCTTATTTTGTTGGCAGTTTGCCCGGCACGTTTGCTTTCCGGCTTCGGCATGTGCCCATGTTGGCCATCAGCTCCTTCTTGGTTGCCATTTGGTTACGCTCGGCATGTGCACCTTCACCTACAGACAGCCTTGGAACACGAGAAACTATCACCTACAGCGACCAGCAGTTTGTTGTGTTTTTTGCAACAAGACCGCGGGTCTTACCAATCCTACAACACACCAACCGAATCCCAGCGCATAAATGGGAATCAAAAACGAATTCGATATTTGTGCAATGGTTTGGTTTTCGAGATTATGTCGGCGTAGCGGACGTGCGTGTGCATAGAATACTCATCCTCTCCTTGGTCTTGTCTTGAACGGATAAGGGCTCATGGTTCCTGTGATGTAGCACCTCTCCGCCACGTGATGAGTTCACCCGAGGCAAGCAACATCAACGATCACCGTTCCGATGCTTCGCGCACGGTAACTTGTACCATAGCTGCGTTTTCTTCTGGCTTTCGGCGACTTGCGGACGAACGCTCTGTACTCCTACGCAATGCAGTACCAGCATCCACCACCGCTAACATTGATAATGCATGCCATGGTTATACTGTCTCATGTGACGAGCCAAGCGGCCAATAACATGTTGCCGCATCCCCGTCTAGCATATACGCATTCATTCCCGGAACTTTCGTCCTTGAGACCAACCTAGACACCACCTCGCGCTAAAGTGTGCCTAACTCTTGGCCTGTCGTGATTCATTCCTCGTTGCACACCCGCGCAAAACCCTATTTGTGGCTTTCATTGCTCGCCAGCTTTGCGGAATGCTCCATTGCCCTAGCCGTGCACCTCAACAATCAACCTACGTCATTGGAGAAGTTATCATTCACAAGAGAGTACACCCCAAGTCCGCACAACACACGCCGGTTTTTCTTGCGATGCAGCTCACCCCCAGCTCATTTGTGCGCTTACCATGCTGGATGATGCAGGGCTTGCCTGTCTTGGTGATGGAAAGCCCGTCTGAATTTACTTGTTGCTCCGCCTCGCTGCCTGCGTCTTCCGCCAGCTCTCGCTGCACGACGTTGTTAGCGTTTGTGCGTTGATGGTGCATTTACGACAGGAAAAGGTCCTAACGAGCCTCCTACCTCTCTCTGCTGATATTCTTCATTTTTTTCAACATTGAAACTATGACTGAGATCGGTTTGCTTCTTGTGTAAGTTTTTCTATTGCTCGCTGGTGTGGCAGATGCCAAAGCGACAAGAAGTGCGTGCTCAGGGAGCATTACACCGAAGGGAGCTCCTGGAGGGCGAAGCAGGTTTGTTGTCGCTGCTCTCGTCGGTGTTTGGTCCTGCCGTTCGCTGTTGTTGGTGCCGTTGCGGCCTGTGCATGGGCAAAAGGGTCATGGCCTCTTGCGATTCTGTACCCCGTACCACGTCCGTCTCAAATCGCCAAAACCGACAAGAAGCGACGAGACACTACACAGACGCCAGTGAACCCAAAAAACGACGCGACACCTCGCGCCTGTTGTCTTGTGGTCGTGCTTGTTGTTGTCGCCGTGGTCAGCTTGCCGTTTCGACGTCTTCCGGCGCCTCTTTATTCCGTGCCGATACAACGCAAAGTGCGCGTGAATATGCGTGTGATCTACGCGTGCGCTCGCTCACATGGTGACAGGTTGACGACCTGCTGTGGGTAGGAGAGCGCACCCTGTCAGACTCGCAGAAGCACGACGACTCGGCCTTCTCGGTGGATTTCACGTTTGGGTGCATCGAGAGCCTGACGGGCCTGTTCAAGACGCAGCTCGCCGACGGCATCATGGGGTTGAACGCGGACAGCCGAACACTGATTACGCAGCTCGCCACGGCTGGGAAGATCAGCGTGAGACAGACTTGTTGATGTTGTCGTTGAGGGTGTTGGTGCTGGTGGTGATGTTTTCGATGATACTGCTGCTGCTGCTGCTGCTGCTGCTGCCGCTGCTGCTGCTGCCATTGAAAATGTCGCTCTCTGGCAAGGAGTCTGTCCTCGAAGCCAGTGCTTCTCAGTACTACTAGTCCTACCAGGGGGAAGACTTGTCCCCTGGCGACACACTAATCCGCGATATCCGATAGTCCACACACGACGAGGCCGGAACGGAGATAAATTTTGTCCAACTCGGGGTAGTGGTTCGGGGTGAGCAAACCCCTTGTGAGACCTGTATGACCCCTTTAGGTTATATCTTCCTCTGGCATAGCTTCTATGTGCGTATGCGCCCGGGTGTTCTAGTATATCCAGCTCACCAGCAGCAGTGGCGGGAGCACCAACGAGATACGAACGGAATGCTCTTCCTGAAATGGGTTTGCCATGCGATGTGCTTACGTGCTTCTTGCGTTTTCCGTTCCACCCGTCCCCCGTCTTTTTGCAGGAACGTAAGTTCTCTCTCTGCTTCAGCGAGACCGGCGGAACCATGGTTATTGGGGGCTACGACCCTCTGCTGAACAAGCCCGGCTCAGAGATGCAATACACTCCGTCCACCGGCGAGATCAGTGCACCCACCGTGAAGGTGACTACTCCGTCCCTCCCAGGGTGCAGCAGCAATCCTGTTAACGTGTGTGGAGTTCAGTAGTCCTCGCAGGTTGTCCTCCAATTAAGCAAAACATATTGGGTTAAGTATAGAATGGGCTTAGTTGGCGTGGTCTGCGTACCCCCTACAGTACCTGGTCTATTTTGGTGATAACGTTACTTCCTTTGCGTAGGCAGTCCATGGAATTTTGAGAGTCACGTGTGGTTGCTCTATTTCCCCTGGAGAGCGTTTCATGGTCCCTCCGACGAAGATCTCCAGTACTGCAGGAACGGAGTGTCTGGTGTGCTTGGCGCAACGGACGGCATGTATACCGGTGGATTGGTCCATGGTGCGGGTTGGTGTGTTCGGATGACGTACGTCCAGTCCAGGAAGGGAGACTTACCGCGTACTGAACGGCGTGTGTGTGTGTGTGTGTGTGTGTCTGTGCCGCACTTCTCGGTGCGAGTGATGTGGGAATCAGTTCAACGTTTCCCTGGCTTGTTGCAAGATAGACTAATCCTCGATGATGGTTGCATAGAACGTCTTTCATGGATCGCTCTGTGAGGGTTGCCGCGCAGTTGCGACCGCCTACGCTTGTCTCCCGCAAAACTCTCGATGGGGGAGAGGGCATGGGCTAACCGGTTGTGACGTCAACCATCGGACTGCCTCGCCTCGCCCGCACTTGCCTGTCTAACCGTCGTTTTGTTTGGTCCGCTTTTTTTCACGGGCGGAAACAACGACGGCATCGGTTGTCTAGGTGACGGACGTCACCCTAAACGGGGTGAGCATAACGACCGACGCGTCCGTGTTCCAGAAAGGAACAGGCATTAAAATCGTCAGCGGGACAACCAACACGTACCTCCCCAGGGCCGTGGCGGAGGGTTTTAGCGCCGCCTGGGAGGCGGCGACTGGATCCGTGAGTATTCAGATGCCCTTGTACTTACGTTGAACAAGTTTGTAGGGGGTCATGTGCTTTATCGCCCCTCCCCCCCGCCTCCCCCGGTGTTTGCCATCGGGGTTGGGTTTTCGTCGCTTGGCAGCGATGTTGTAAAACAAGCCGATTCACTTCGTGAGCTCGGCGACCAGGTTACCGCTGTTTTTTTTTTGGCTTTGGATTTTGTTTTTGCGGTAACCATGAATGGTGGTCGAGTAGATCATGTTGTGCGGGGTCGAGAACCCTCACTCCGCGCAAAGGGGATAATCGCACGTTGTGTTCAATTGGTTAAACACCCTCGAGGCAGTTACACAGAGCTTACAATTGTCTCTGGAAGGCATCAGAACATAAATTAAGTCATACGCAGCTGTCATCCGCACGCAAGGAAGTAAGCACAAGATGCCGAACACCCTTAGCAGGATGCAGCGCACCCTTCATGCAACTCGCCGAATACCTCACGGCTCTTCGCGCTTGGTGATGTGAGAGCCTGGTCCGGTGAGAACCCGGCGTGCTCCGTCCCGGCTTTGTAGGGATGCGAGGTCAATGGTCAAACGACTACGGCATGCACGACTATGAGTACACCCCCCCCCCCCCCCCCGCCCGCGTACCAGTGGGGCAAAGGGAAATCGGTAGTTGTTGAGACGGCGGTTCCGGTTCGAGTACGTTGTAAGTGCCATACTCTAAACCTACAGGACTTCTTTACAGATGCGCCGCCGTTCCGATGCCGCTATCCAATTCTCTGCTGCGCTGTCGGGGTTGTTTGTCGCGACAAGGAGCATGGCCGGGAGCATTTCGCGACGGCTGACCCGCTTCTTTGCCCGCCTCCCCTCACTCACTCCCCCTCTCTACCCCAAACAGCCCTACGCGACCTGCAAAATGAACGAATTCTGCATGACCCGGACCACCGTTGAGTTGGAAGCCCTGCCGGTGTTGATGATCCACATGGATGGCGGAGTGGAAGTCAACGTGCGGCCGGAGGCATACATGGATGCCTCCTCGGACGAAGAGAATGTATACCCCTCTCTGCCTCCACCTTGCGCAGCACGTGTTGTGCCTACGTCGCGCACGTGTAACGTTTTTTGCGCCTTCGACCTGTCGTGGAGGTCACGGTGCGCATCGTTGTTGCTGCTGTGACACACGGCGGGCGCTAGAAGTCCGTTGATCATTTTCACCGGTGCCTGTCGTTTGTTACCGCTGCCGCCGCCGACAAGACCCTGGCGGCAAAACAACGGAGGCTCAGCCAGTGGCCACAATTCCCAGCAAGTAGAGTTCGGAAGAACCGAAATACAAAAAAAATCTGCTGTGCATAAACAGGAAGACTTTTGATTCCTGCGCAACGCACACAAGTCCCACAGACCATGGGCAACACGAATACATAGGAGTGAGTGATCAAACACAGCGGATTACAGCAGTAGGACCTGCAGCAAGACGCCACTAGCCTAAAAGCACACACGCACGCACACCCGAAAAGTAAAGGCGAGAAAAAAATACCCCGCACAAAACATCTGCACTACCGAACATCATGATGTTGAAATGTAACGATGCGACCGCGATGACATTGACCATACCCTCTTGCGTCGCCCCCGGGAGGCAAGCCACGTGACTCCCGAAGGGGAGCCTTGTGACATGAAGTATGATAACGCTCGACGAGGATGAAAAGAAAGTGTCGGGTGCCTATCTGTCTCGCTCGATGGTGAAGATGGTGAAAAAACATACCTCTTTTTTTGTTGTCCGGAGCTTGTTTCGGTGGCATCGACATGCATCGGGGATAATTTAACAGAGAGAGGATGGTAGAAACATCGTTCGTTCCAAGTTCGTACAAAGCACGCATCCGCCTACTGTAAAATGTGGCAGGATCTACTTGACGGAGTCCATGGGTGGCGTGCTGGGCGCAAACTTGCTCCGAGACCACAACGTCGTGTTCGACTACGACAATCACGTGGTGGGCTTTGCGGACGGCGCTTGCGACTATCATGCTGACTCCAGGGGATCGGACGGGGGCAGCGCTGGTGCCGAGGTGTGCAAAAGTATTGGGTGTGCCTCTTGTGTGTTTTCATGCTGTTTCGTTTGGTACCGTTTGTCTTCTTTTCGTTGTGATGACTCAAAGCGGGGAGCAATTTATTTTCCACCATGGTGGTTGTCGCATGAGCGTCGCGTTAATTATCTCATCATCAACAATATCGCATTTGCGCCACCGTTGACAATACAGCCCGTGGCCACTGGGCACACGAGCTGCTTCCATCCGAAGGTACCTGTACGTTGATGTGCATTGTCGCATGAGTTACCAAAGACCGTTGTAGACACTTGTGCACCACCGTTTAACTCCCCCGCCGACCGACTCTGCCTAGACTCACTCCAGGACATAGCGGTCAGAGCAATTGAACGGAATCCATCTGACTCATTAGTTCACCAGGTAGTTGTTTTCCCAGCCCCCACCCTCGACTGTCGCCACCTTTGTTGATGTGGGTCGGAGCGGGGTCTGAGGGATACGGGAAGGAGGTGGAACGGAAGGCCAACACTGACGTGCGCGTCCTCGCGCGCCTCTCCTTAGGTAGGTTCACCCACCCACCACCCACCCACTCCTTCTTCTATATCGCGCGGCACTGCCCCGCGATTACGTTGCTGCGTTCCCTTGGCTACACCAGGGCGGGCCTGCGGTAGAAGCGGAGGCGAACGTGGACTGCGTCACCGCGGCAAAGAGGGTCGAGGAGTGTGATGCCGAGTGCCCGACCGGCCAATCCGAGCCGAGCACCGCGGAGGGGCGTGAGGTGAGGGTGGTGCCCCGCCATGCCGGGCGCGCCTGGGGGGCAGCCAGGCTGCCTGCCGGCCGCTCGCTGCCGAGTGGTTCGAACGTCACGGCCTTCATCATCAATCTTTGTTGCTTCTGTTGCTGTTGTAGGACTCTGGAGGTTTAGGGTTAGGGCTAGGAAACGACGTTCTTCTTTCCTCGCGAAGACGAAACCAGGGCACAGATGGGTCCCAGAGTTGGTTCCAGGCGTCGCGGGCTTTCTGTGCGCATGTGTGGTCGGGTTTTCGGTCGCGTTCCTCGAGAGCTGTTTGCTTCCGCGTACCGAGGATGCCTGGTGAAGCCTGGGTGGGGCATATACTTGAATGTCTTCGAATTGTCGCTGGCTTTGCCGGCGTTGGCTAGGTTAGTTGAGATTTGATTTTTGTACTCAGCACCCAGCGGTATGTCTTGTTTTCTTCTGTGCGAGTAATGGTGTTTGTCATGGCCCGCGGGAATGAGGTTGTTAGACAAGAGGAAGGCGGAGGTGGATACACACAGAGAAAGAGAGATAGCAATGACTTGTTACACCTCCCGAGCCTCGCTACTGAAAATTATTTGTCTTTCTGTCCACATGCACTGATTTTTCCAACCTTTGCTTCGCGTGCCGTGTCTTTGCGGTTGTCCCGTGTATGTCCCAGATCTGGGTGGACGAGGTCATCACTCACCCACAAGGGTCCGGCCAAGCCTGTCCCGACAAGATGGCAGAGGAGCACCGCGGTTGCGTGAAGGACTGCCCTTAGTAGAGCACCAAGGCAAGCAAAGCCGCAGTGTTCAAGGCGAAAAAAATGCTCAGGGGTTGCTCAAGGATATACAATGGTGTTGTTGGGGAGAGGCGGCTGCTGGTGAGGCGGATGGATGTTGAGGGTGGGGCAGCTGTTGGGGTAGATGGTGTTGAGGAGGGGGGCGGGAGTGGTCCTCTGGGTTGAAGCTGAAATTGTTGTTGTTGTGGGCGGGGGGGGGGGAGGGGGGGGCGGTCGCCCGGGTGTAGGACTTGCTGTTTATTTTATGTTTCGAGGGGGAGTTTCCCCGATGTCGATCTTGCGACTCTTGGTTGTCCTTGTGTGTCGTCGTTCTGCGGTGAGCGTTGTCCTGTGTCTCTTTGTTCTTTCGTGTCTCCTTTGTCCCGCTGTTACCGTTGTGTGTGCTTTCGTATTTTGTCGTTCCCTCTGTTTGTTGCCGAAATATTTCTTACCCGTGTGCCCGTACTGTTACGAGCCGAGCGCAGTAGGGGGTGTTCAAGACTGATCGTACGCTCGTTCGCTGTTTTTTCGAAATCAGGTTACCAGGCTCTTCTTCATCAGCGCCCCTTAGGAAAATAGCTTCGGTCTTCTTGATGTCTCGTTTCTACCGGACTGCCGCTTTTTTAGCTTTTTGATTTTATTGTTTGGGTAATCGAGAGATGGATGCCACCGTCCGAGAAACCAACCGCAACTTACGCTGGCGGGCGTGTGCGTGCATCACCCTCCTCTCCGAAACTTGAAAATGTGGCGCGGGTGAGAGGGGCACCCTGCAGTAGGAGGGGGCGCCGACACAAGCCGCCGCTTGGGTGTAGCCTAGAAAGATGTTGGGAAGAGGATGAAAAATACACAACTTTATACTTGCATTCAGCAGGTTTTTGTGTGGCACTGGCCTTCTTGAATATTGTGTAGAAAGTGTATTTATTGTCGAAGGCAGAATAAACTGGAGTTCATTGTGAACGAAAGAATTCGTTACACACGTTCCTGTCTTTTGCGCGACGCACACGTTCATGTCTAAACGAATTCGAGTGTCTTGGATACCTGCCGATCGGCCAGCACACTCAAAGCATTTGTAGTGATGGGGTGATGGTGGAAAGGAGAACTCACCAATATCGTCATTACAGCGACACGATGCACGTGCGGCAGCTTTCTGTTTGTTATGTTCCGTTCTCCGTATGGCCATGCACCGCTTGAGCCAAGACTTAACTTCCGGTACACAGTACATAGGTTTGGTATGTGCTTCCTCCCTGGCCCGTAACTTGCGAGCTCGGATGCCCTGTGTTGCTTTGTTGTACTACACGGCTACACTGGGATTTATTCTTGTCGCTTTGGTGTGAACTGCGAGAGGTGTGGGGGTGGGCTATATTAGTAGGAGGAGCCGCATCTTCGATTATTTCCCGATACTGTAGACTAAATCCTGATCCTACTTGTATAATATCGGATGAAATTGGCTTCCCTCTTCCTGCTTGTAATTTCCCCTGATTTACACATTGATGGAATGCAGCAAAGTCTCCTCAGAGTAGGCTACTGCAGTGATGGTATTGACTGTGGACATACGCGTTATCAGTCCATGTGTATTGGTAGTGCTGCTGTACTGGGTAGGCAGGTACCATCCATACTTGGGCAAGAGCCTCAAGGGTCTGGTTGGCGTCGTGAGCAGGAAGGACAGGACGGGCGTATTGGTGCCGCATTTATTTACGTATGCATGCATGGATCTTGTTGGCCTGTTCGGCAAGTTGGTAGATAGGTAGAGTCAGGAGAGGGGTCTCCTCTCTCTGTTACTCTTCCAGCGCTCAACTAGAGCAAGGCCCAGAAACAATCAAAGTGAACCAAGCCCTGCTCCTCTACGATGGCCGGGGCCGTGTCCCATACCGCGGTCACATATTGCGCATGTTTCCCCGCAAGGTTATTCCGCCGCGTTTTCGGCGGGAACAAACACAAAGTCACGCGCGTATCTTATCTGATCAGTGCCCCCGTGGATGACGCGTTCATCTTGTGACAGTGAACGCTGAAGGATGCACAACGTTTGCACTCGGGGATTGTTTGTGTGCATCTTAATCTCGTCTGCGCTCTCTACCTGCTCTACATCGGGTGAGTAGGCCATCGCTGTTCCGCGTTGTTCCTGTCGCTTTCGTGACAGCAACATCGTTGCGCACTATCCCGCGAAATGGACGACGACACCGTCTTAACCAAAAAGATAACGGAAACCTCAGCGCAGTAGTCTAGCACGTTTGGTTGAGGCAACGCGCAATGCCTGCAAGAGAAAGAACGCGTGTTATGGCTTTCACTCACGAGACCCTGATTCCCTGCCGCCCGTGTTGCACTACTCAAGCACAGTTTCAGCCGACTGCACCGCGAAAAGAGACGTCGCTGGTTCGGATGTGGTGAGTGAGTGAGCGAGTAGATGAGTGGCCATCATTCGAACACTTCATTGGCCCGTCCACGCCTCCTTCCGTGAGAGTTTACGTTCACGTTCAATTTAGTGAATGTGTATGCCGCGCGATGTATGTATGTACTTGTACAGTCACTACGCGTTCCGGAGTAGTAAGTGGTTTTGGTTTCGTTCGAAGTTGGTTCCGCCGACGACGCTCTTTTATCAACCTGAAGAGGAGGGTGCTATACCATTAAAGATTACCAGCAGAGGACGTCAACGAACCACACAAACACTTGCCTCTACTAATGCCACGATGATCATAGACCGTGATCATCATCAACACCCCCAAAAGGGCTGCAATTCTTTGCGGTCTTCGCGAACTTCATCAACACAAAGCGAAGAATGGGGATAGACGAATTACACACAACACACACACCATCAGTTGTTGTTGATTCATGTTGGGGCCTCGTACTCTCCAGCAGATGATTATTTATGGCGTACTTTTGACATGATATGCTGCGCGCTCGGGGTAAATACGATGACCTTCTCAGAGTGGTTCGGATTCGAAGTACGGTAGTACTGTGCCCCAACTCAGTCGGTGGTGCAACACCACGCTTATTTTTCCAACATGTTGTCTGTGTAAAACGCCGTCGACGTACGTATATCTACTACCTGCCATTCCTTCGGACGCCTCGTGATGGAACCGCAGGTGTTGCTCATGGGGCAGTCGAACATGAGCGGCTGGGGCGAAGGCTACGACGCAGATATCGACGGCCCCAACGACCCGCGCATCCAGCAGTGGTCACGGGACAACACGGTCATCACGGCGTCGGAGCGTCTCCAGCACGCCGACCATGGTAGGGCCGGGAAAAGGAGGGTGGGCATGGGCACCGCCTTCGGACGCGCCTTCGTCAAAACCCTGCCGGCGAACCGCAACGTTCTGCTCGTGCCCACCGCATTCGGTGCCACTCGGCTGGTGAACGGTCCCTGGTCCCCGGGCGGGAACTTGTTCGAAGATGCCGTGACGCGTATGGAAGCCGCGCTCGCAAGCAATGGGGCGGCCGGGAACTGCGTCGCGGCAATCTTGTGGCACCAGGGAGAATCGGATGCAGGCGATGGGATCGACCAAGAGACATACCAGTCGATCTGGACGAACATGATCAACACGCTGAGGTCTCGCATCCCGGCGGCGGCTGAAGCCCCGGTGATCTTGGGCGAGTTCACGCCTCACATGCTTGCAAGAAACCGAGCGCTTTCGGAGCCAATCATCGCGGCGATTCGAGCCATCCCTGACAGCGTTCCGTTCACGGCAGTAGCGCCCTCCGACGGTCTATCGACCAATTCCGTTGGTCCCGTACACTTCGACGCGGTAGGGCAGCGCGAGTACGGGCAGCGGTACTTTGACAAGCTTGACGACGCCGTCAGAAACAGCCACTCAATGAGGTCATGAGACGGCGTGCTTCCGCGGACGGTTGCTTACGGTGCCAAGCAAAGCGTCTCACCGAGAAAGATGGACGGAGAAAAGAAACTCTAGACAATAAGGTGTAGACTACTATTGTGCTGCTAGTGCTGTGGGTGCAGATGGTAGTCAATTTTAGGCCGACCTGGAAACGTATATTTATGGCCTCCGAGTGTCCGGGTGGCAGGCTACGGGGGTCGCCTGGCGATATCCGTTCGGGGTGTCGACCCAAAAGAGCCAGTCCCATGACAGCGAACGAGCCTTGGTGGGTGTTTACCATATTTGATTTGTTGAACCACAGACCAGATGTTTTACAAGTGTTTTACAGCAGTAGTGATGTCCATCCTTCCTTGCCAAGTATAGCATAGGTATCAGAAGGCGGTGGCCTCTACGTAATCGTGCCATGGACGTGGTGGTGTTTACAGTGACAAATTTCATGTTCCTCCTCTTCACTCTCAACTTCCACCTACTCTTGTGTCATGATGGCAGCTTCTCCGATGATCGCCAACCCCATCGTGGCCGGTGTCGTCATTGAGGGTGGCAAACCGATTCGCAGAGGTCGTTTTGGCCTCTGCCGCGCCGGCTCCTTCTTCACCCGTGGCGGCCCCAGAAGCTTTATCTACCATACGTCTTTTGCGCTGTGCTCGCGGCTGAGTTGGGTTGTGAATTCCTCGCGCTGAGCGGAGGCGCCAGGATCGTCATTTTGCTGTTTTCCTGCATTGGGAAGCGAAGAGGCGTTGTGACACGTCCCTTTCCCCCGGCTTCGGTACACGCTGGCGCTGTATGAGCTCGTCATTTCTGTGGGGACGTTTGCAATACACATCAGAGTCTGATGCCAGTTGCCAAGGAGAACGTCGTTTCCATACTGAATCTAGTGTCCCGTGAAGGAGTGGTGTAACCGTCCACCAGCGGAGAGTCGTTTACAAGATCCGTCCGAACCGGGGGATCGCTCTTGGAAAAAAAAAAGCTTCGGACCAAAGGAAAGTTTTCTGGCAGGTCTTCTACCGCATGTGTGTGCCTGTACAGCTTGGAAAAGTCCTGGCTTCCGCAGGAGGCACGACCAAGGAAGCACAAAAAAAAAAACAGCACACCGGTCGCGGAACAGAGGCGACGAATAAACAACAGCTTCCTAGAGAGCTACGCAGCGCACAATCTGCCGGCGCAGGGGAAGACTAAAAATTAAATCACAGCACACGGCACTCTAAGAGAGGGCCCGGCACAAAAAATCAAAACCAAAGCGATGCGCATTACAACTACTTTTCCCCTCCTATGTACCCCGGCCACGCTATCTCCTTGAAAAGACAACTGACCACCGTCTTGCCACGGAAGCCCTATGGAAACCACGACCAAAGCCACAGAGTGGTACAAAATACACAGCACGGTAATTTCCTGCTTCTGGCACATCCCGCACGCCGAACGAACAGCAGCAGTGAAGCTGGCTCTAGGTTGTAAAGTGCGTCGGCTATCTTGCAGGCTAAAAAAAAAAAAACTCGAACAGGTGGGCTTCACCCTATTAGATCATATCAGCCACGCCGTGAAGCGGCTGATGGGCTTTACAACATGAGATCATATCAGCCACGCCGCGAAGCGGCTGATTACAAAAAGAAAGTAGTTTTTTCAGCCCAGTTGACGCAACACCGTCTCTCTCTCCCAATAGGACCAGTGTGGACGTACGTAAGTGCGGAGTGCGAAGAAGATGGCCAGAACAGCTTTCGACACAAAGGCGGCAACAGCAACACTAGGGCGATCCAACACGTACACACGGGTTGGGACATCGCTCAGGCTCCTTGCGCCCCGCAAAAGTTACGTTGCTCAAACAACCAACAGAGATGCATGATCCATCCACGTACGCCTCCACAACAACAATACCAATCCAGTACGGCACCTTATTTCCCCGCTCTCTCTCTCTCTCTCTCTCTCCGCTTACTCCTCTCCCTCTCTTCAATCGAAAGGACAAGCGCCCGATCACATTTAGTCAATGAGACATTCTAGCAGCGGCGAGGCGGGGCCTAACCCCAACTCGTTAATGCTTCTTTACCGTACTCTTACTACTTGCGAAAATCAGAGTTTAACACTTCTCGCCGGACAAGGATTGGGCAGGGAACAGTCCCGGCTGTTTTCGGAGGCAATGTTAAAGACTCTCAACGAACGCGGCGCAAGACCATACAACCACCGCAGCAGCTTGCGGCATCGGGGGCAAAAACTTGTCGCTACCTTGCCGGTGGGCGCCGCAACAGCGCCGCACCAGATCTCGGAGAAGAAGGCATCTCGTCCGGGCCGTCGGGCCCACCGCCGCCGCTGCGGCCGCCGCCACCCTCACCCCCACCCTCGCCATCATTCCCGCTATCACCGCTACCGACGCCGCTAAGGGTCCCGTCCGCACGGTCTTGCGACGACGATATTCCTGTCGAGGCCGAAGAAGCCCTTGCCCCGAGGGCTAGGTAGTCCGTCATGATCTGCGCGTCGAGCGGGCGGAGAGGACATCATCGAGGAAGCGTTAGCGGTTGCTTTTGTCGCCACCTTTCGCTTGGGGGTTGGGTGTCGCTCTGACCATCCCTGCCCGGTGTGCCTGAGCACTTTCGGTAAGGCTTCGCGTATGGTAAAAGACAACGGCGAGGTTCGTAAGTCACAGACTGACTTGATGCCAGGATAGATGTACACAGTTCGACTGCACGGTCGACGAGAGAAAGGGATGGCTGAACCCCTCTCGAGAAAAAAACCAAGCGAAGGCAACGCAGGAGGAGAGCTGGGGTACAAAAATGAAAAACGCAATAAACACGAAAAGCTCCTTGTGTGACCTTTCCCCAGTGTGACACCGGCCGCTTATGCCAAACGTATACGCCGAAAGGTATGTAGATTGGCGCCAGCATAGATGGGACGAGCAAACACACACACACACACACACACACACAACACACACATGCTCATTGAGATACCACACACAAAAACCTGTCGGTAGAATCCTCACTTACCCTTTGACGAGAAAGTGTTCCTGTTTTCATCCCGATACAAGACTGGCGTCTTTCTTTTCATTGATCAGCCGGTTAGCGCGGTCGATGCTAACTAGGAAAAAACAACATACACACACCCTTCCAGAGACCTTGGTTTTACCCGCTGGCGCTGACGTCTTTTCATTGGTCAGCCGCCAAGCGCGATCGACGCTAAATAAGAACAAACACACACCTGCCCGTGATCGAAGGCGAACTCTCCCACCGTCTCTCCCAGCGACGCCAGGGGGATGGAAACCACCGCCGCCGCGTCACTGCCCGCCCGAGGTGTGCCCGTCGTACGCGCCACGTACGCCACGCTCACCTGGATGGATTCGTTCACGCAGAGGGAGTTAAGTCCCCCGGCAATCAAAATCAACCCAACGGCAGAAAGAACCAACCGTCGAAGCGTCACGCACCGGGCAGTCGGCGCGTGGCGCAAAGGAGGAGGGGCTGGGAGCGGCGCGGAGGAGGCGTGTGTGTTTTCATGTAGTTCATCCACATCGACCGTGCAATGTAACGGCCTGGCCAATGAGAGTGTCGGCGAGCGCAAATAGCACTCTGTGCGTGCGCAGTCATTGGATTGGCATGGACCGCGCTAACCAGTCGGAACACGGCATGACGTCTACCCCATGTATTTGTGTACGTGTGTGTTTGTTTGTCTTGTGTGTGAGACGGACGACCACAGCGACCGTATGAGATTCGGAGACAACAACCACACCGTCGAGAACCCTGTGTGTCGAGCATGTAGGCTTGACGTGCGTAACGTTGTTGTTGGTGCGATGCTGATTGGTTCCGCTGCTCACCGTATGTCTTCTGGCATCTCTCGCTGGGTCGTCGTACATCTGCATTAGATCGCCGCGTGTTTGGTGGTGGTGCAAGGAACGAGAGGAGAGCAGCGACAATGGCAGCAAGGTAGACATCATTAGGGTGGGAGATACGGGAAAGGTGGTGGAGGACAGCAAGCAGGGGGGGAGGCAAGGCATAGGAGGGAGAGCGATGGGTAGCAGGGAGACATACATCACGGCAACATTACGGTTGAGATGACACTAAAGGCTTAGGGGGGGAAGAAGGGCGACGAGCTCGAATACATGGCGGCTCGTCGATTTGAGGATGCCCAAGCATGAAAAATAGGGGTTGAGAGAAACCAAATGAAAATCCCGCCTCCACCGAAAGAAAACCTTTCCGGCAAGGTGTGGCCTAAAGCCTCTCCACCATGATGGCGCTGTGTCCCCGGGAAAAGGGTTCGACCGACGCTCAGCGACCCTCTGCCTACGTAAATCTCGCACAAAAAAAACTACTCAATTAAACCATCTACCGATTGCTCCGCCCGCAAGGGTCATTTATCCTGCCTCCCCGCTACACAAACACACATGCCAAAAAAGAACCTCACCTGTGGCAACATCTGCAACGACGTCACCTCCAGCCCCGTCTCCTCCCTAACCTCTCTCCTAGTGGCCTCCTCCAGCGTCTCCCCGACCTCCACGAAACCCCCGATGCACGCCAGCTTCCCGTTGTCTTTTCTTCGCACCACCAGCACCGATCCCACCTGCTCCCGGGGGGGGGGGGGGGCGGGGGGCGTTTCGACGACGGGGAAAACACCAAAAAGAAAGACAAAATTTACGCCCGCCCCGTCTTTTTGGTTGCGGGGGGGACTGACTGCCCCAGCTACAAAGCAATCGATGTGGATAGATGCTTGGCTTACCGCCGCTGACGGTATGACCTTCTCAAAAATATTCTTCTTCTTGGAGAATCTTTTCGGCGTTTTGGTACTTGTAGAACGCCACCCGGCGTCAGAGACAAGCTTGTGTGTGTACTCGTCCACCGCAAGCGCGGAGACTCCACGAAGCACGAGCACCACTGCTGTGCACCTAAACCTTGGGGTGTGTCATGGCATCCCTCCCAAGACAAGCCTCCATCACTTCGGTCTGAAACCCTCGCGAGCGACGAACCGCCGGCTGCTTCGTATCTACCCAGTCCCGTAGCTTGTCTCACCTCTCCGGTGGCCGGGTCAGACACCTCTACGACCGTGTCGATGGCCAAGCTCGGAGTGCACATGCAGTACTCGTCCCACCCGCACCAGCACGAACCCGCGTGCGTTTTGGACCCCCCGTGCCACTGCCTCGGACAGTCGTGGGTGACCGATTGTAACGCCTTTTTTTTTTTGGGGGGGGGGAGAAGGAAGCGGCGAGGTTGGGGGCAGGGAATTGCGATTTGGTGGTGAGCACATAACGAAGCCAATGTTGAGTTGCAGTTCGTCCACAAAAGCGCCATTACGTTGAACTCAATTGAGGCCGTGTACGTATAATAGGAGGACATTGCGTGGGAACCGTCGCGTTGTGAGAGGCACAAAAAGGGGGTTGCCCTGTCAGTTTGCGGTTCAACGCGGAAAATGATAGACGGGGCCTCGTGGCACGTGTGATCATTTGAGTGACGGTGCCCCCTCTCGAAGGAGCTTCCCTCGCTCTTTCACGTCCCACATATGCCACACCCTACACAGGAACAAACTAAACGTTGGACCAAGTGCGCCCATTGATTGGGCTTCGAATGACGTTGCTTCGAACAAGCAAACCTCTGCGCCATGCCGAAGCCGTTTCCTCCTCTTTTCGGGCGATTTTTTCCTTTTCTTACGGCAACTTTCACGCCAAAATTACAAGTCGATCGAGTCTTGGAACCCCGAGACGTACTATAATCGTGAGCCTGCCTTCAAAACCTTAGCACTAAAATCCGAATGCTGGAAGCACACCAACAGAAGTATTCTATGCTAGAAGTCGACTCGACGGAGTCGCCTAGCAGCTTTACCGCTCTCACCACATTGGGGTAAATAAGCAATATTTTGGCCCCTGCATTGAGGGTGTTTATTGATCCCTCAACCTACTGCTGTGGGTACACGTGTTCGCGGGGACCGCTAACCTCTGCTTGGCATAACATTGACAGGTGCAAATACAAACGTGCGGACGCTTTCGAGTACTGCTGTACGCCCATATAGCAGTGGCATACGTATGCCTCTCACCCACCGCAGAACTGCTGTGCGGTTCCACGACTGAACATGTTCCCCCAAAAAGTAGAAGCTCTGAGGGCTACTGCTGTAAGTTGGTTCTAAAAGACACCGGGGACTCACAATGAATTCATTGAGTTGTTGGATAGGGCTGCATATGGAACGGGGTCGTCGCTGGCAAATAGCACAAAGGTGCTTGAAGCTGTTCTGACTTAACCCTTTTGGGTCTACAGGCGTCCTGACAGATCATTGATTGATCATTTACAAATGCTGGTGTTGTGGCATGCCATGGAGTTGCCGCCCTGTATCCCTCCACGCCAGTTGTTGGCAAGTCAATAGGTATAGGTGTGTCTTTATTAGTCGCATCGACCGCGCTAACCGGTGACCAATGAAAGACGCTAGTGCCAGCGGGAAATATCAAGGTCACTGGAACGGCCAAAATTCGAAAAATGCACACTACAACTCTAAATGTGAATGCCACCATGAATCTCTCCCATATCCTTTCACAGAGACACACATCACATCATCAATAGCTCCACATACATGCCCTCGCCCGAATCTAGGAAGCCACTAAAGAAGACAGGAGGACAGCGAAAAGGGGCACTTCAAGCCCAACCAGGCCAGGATATCGTGGAATGCTGCATATCCTCCAAATTTGAAAATCGTACACTCCCGAGATCCAGCAGTCATCATGTCAGCAGCTATACTACACAGCAGCAGCATATATATATAGACGAGTCCAACATCAGCAGTCTGCTGTAGTAAAACATACACGGATCGCCCTTTCGCCTCAAAGCACCAGCCGTCAATTCTGTTGTCGCTGCTGCTGCTGCTGCTGCTGCTGCTGCTGCTGCTGCTGTAAGCGTATACGTCATGACCGTCCCTGCTTGTCCTATTCCCAACAACGTATTTCTTACTTGCCACTGCTGTACGATTCGATCCCGCTCCACAAACCGCAGATTTCCTTCGTTCAATAGGGCACGATGGTTAGTAATCTATTCTGTACATGCATTGTACTCCAAGCAGTTGAAGTTAGCTATTAGTTGAAGTAGTTACTCAACCTCCGAGTGTGGTTGAGTTGTTACCGTCTTCCCACTGAAAAACCATCGTACCCCCGGAAAAACACTGAAAATCGGTGAATCCGCAGAGAATCCGCGAATCTGCGTTCCGCGTTCCGTGCTCCGTTTGCAGGGTCACCAGGTCATTGCGCACCCGCACGTACGGTAAGGTTCAGCGTCCTTCCCCTCAAGTATGCATACACTATACACTGTAAGTGTGGCGAACAAGCGCGTCGGAAGTCGCGGAACAAGCACACCTCGTCGGGGTTCGAACTCCCAACATCCGCCGCTACAGATGGGTTTCGATGCGTGGACGGCAGTCACGAAGGGTCTGCCAGCTGCCTGCCGTTGAAGGCGTGTGGTTGTGGTGCGTGTCATGGCATCAATCTTTCAGGGCGTTGTCAGACTTCGACTTCCTTCACTTTCGCTACTAGTAGGGGTCAGCACACACCCGACCAGCTGGGATCACCCGCGAAGAAAGGGGGGTACTGAAGCTGAAGCGGGAGAAAAAAAAATGCTTGAAATAAAGTACCAGAAATCTTTGGGGTGGTTCAGGAGTCCTGCCGCTGCTGCTCCTGTCACTGCAGTAAAAGAGGTAGACTAACCCTATGCATATCTCCTGCTGTTGCAGTCATGACTCGTTTGTGGAAAATAATGGACCGTTTACATCAATACTTGTGCATACAAGACATGAACATGCGTACGCTCGCGTCCGTCCGTCCGTCAAGCAAAGGAGGCAGGGTAACTCATGGGAAGGATAGGGTCCGCGCAGTTGTTATGAGGAGGTAGGTACGGAGACAAGACAAGAGACAAGAGACTCGAGAAAAAAAAAGCTCTTCTTGGGGACTAGTCTACAATGAGTTTTGAATTTCCTGAGAGCAGTGTGCTGTATGTACGACAAGAGTGTCACACCACAAGCGTGCGCAGCTTACTGGTGTCGATAGTTTTCAAGACAGAGACATGAAAGCACACGTACCACCGGCATGGATCAGTCAGAGTGTGCAGCAGTTCCTGGTTGTTGTGCGAACAAACAAGAATGCGGAGGGATCGACTAGCAGCGCACCAGCGTACCTTCCGATGTGTCACGACTTTCAAGTAGAGGAAGAGGCACACCATGCACATAGACAGGATGGCCCACAGACCCATCTTGCGCTGGGCTCGCGCTCGCACTCTTTGCCTGTCTCCATCCCACTCCGCGGGCATGGTATTCCCCACGAACGCACAGCCAGAACTTGGAACGAAATAGTGGAGTGGGGTTGCCCGGCAATGATCCCTTTGGCAATCCGTCGCCGGGGCCCCGTAGCTAGGAAACATTTTGAAATGGGTACCTGGTTGTTCTCACATATAAGGTAGGTGTATTGCGGTTGTGGGTGGTGTGACCAGGTCGTTTGGTCCTTTTCTCTGGCCTCGCTCTTGTTCTCTGTTCACCAGCCAACGACCACCAGAGGTGTGCTTCTTCTCCCTCGTATCATCCATGCAGATGAAGCCTTTTTAGGCTCCGAAAATAGGAATTCCGTCCGTGTTCTTCCTTGTCGTCGCCGATTACAGAGTAAGGTCAGCTGTTTGAAATTTGAAATCGTACACAGCAGTTACAGCAGCAGCTGCCGCGGGACAACCCACCAGCATGGCGGCCTCTTCCTATCTGCTGGAGCTGGACGAGCGACGAGAACGGCTCCTGGCTGAGGTCGTGGACCACCTTGGTGTTCCATCGGGCTCTGCAGAGCATGAAGTGGCCCTGTCGTTCGCGGCGAGCTCCCTGGCACATCATGACCACATGGACGCCGAGAGCAACAAGGTTAGCTGCGCCTGTCGTCTACAGCATTGCTCCTCTCAGAGTCTGTACACTGCTCCGTGTAGTCAACACTCTTCCGTGGGTTGCGTGCACGTGCTAACGTGCTGTGCAGTCTCTCTCTTTCTGTTGCGTGCGTGCGATTTATATCTACATGCTCATAACCGTGTTATGCCACCTACTCCATTATTAAGTCTAATCGGGTACAGCAGTAGTCGTCCTCTTCAAACACAAGATGTTCTTTAGTACGAGAAGCAAGTGTGCGCTTACCGGTCTTCCCCACGCACCTACAAGATGCGGCATAACTCAAGCCCCAACCCAAACATCTCACCAAAACCAACGGCCAAACCTTTGTTCTAGTGGGCGCATTTTTGGTGCTCTATCGTGTAAGCAAGGGGCATGTTCGCGTGCGAATCTATTGGTGTGCACTACAGTACACTAATACTGCACATACATGAGCCGTGTGCACGAAACTTGACAGCAGTTACACAGCAAGGGTAGTAGAGTCGCTCCGTCGTTACATGTAGTGGTTGGTGCCAGGAACAACCGCCGTATGTTTCGATCAAGCCATTGACCCCTCGTATGCCGTTTGCGCGGTACAAGCTGGTTGCCGTCAATTAAATCGACTAACATACATACCTGGCAGGTTGAGGCAGCAATCTGCAGCTTCGCCGAGAAGTTTGTGATGCACGGCAAGACCGTGAACGCAACGCGGTTGCTCCTGCTAGCCTCTAGCCTAACCGGCAAGGTAAGGTTAAACGTGATCTCGCTGTTGGTTCCTAAGAGATTTTTGTTGTTGCTCGTTGTAGTTTTTAGCACCCCCTTTGCAGAGGTTGTTGTCTATCACGACGCGAAAGCAGGCCCTTCCGGTTTTCTATCTGAAAATTGTCTCTGAAACGCTCATATCGTGTGCCGCGCTATGATACTATAATTTGTTGGTCGAAACGCCCCGGCTGCCGCGAACTCGTTTTACCCCCCTGCGCTAATTTCGGAGTCCTGCCGTTCTTCTATGTCTCTCTTTCATCACGTGTTGTACGTGCTTGTCGTCCACTGCTGTACCTCCCCCCCCCTCCCCTCTCTTTCAGCCCATGAGGGTGGAGGGCCACCGCATGGATACGGGCGGCGTCAACAAAACGGCGGCGGCTTCGCCGCCGCTGGAGCACCCTTACGCCGCGCTCGCTCTCGCTCTAGCCCTCTCGGGCTCGCAAAGGTGGGCTGCCGCAAGGGAGGCGGAGGTGGAGGGAGACGAGAAGGAAGGGGACACTCCAGATGCCGAGAGCGTCGAGGGTGGTGGTGGTGGTGGTGGTGGTGGTGGTGGTGGCGGCGGCCGACCAGCTCGGGACGAAGAGGAGGGGGAGGAGCGGCAGGGCGCAGCCGAGCTTCTCGCCGGTTTCGAGGGCGATTCGTCCCGGCTGTGGAGCAGCGACAGCGACGAGGGCAGCGAGCTAGAGGGTGGACCGGAAGAGCAGGAGGAGGAGGAGGACGGCGTCGGGTCGTTTTCGTCGGCGCTACCGGTGGTCGAGGATGTCGACGAGGGGGGGACACGAGAGTGGCTGCAGGCGTTTGAGGATGACGGCGAAGGCAGTCCGCGTGCCGCTGGTGAGTGAGAGGGGGGACGAATAAAGATAGGCCTTTCGAGTGCAGGTCACACGCGCACGTGCTCCTTGGAAGCCTGGCCTCGACGGATCGGTTGTTCCTCTCGTCTTGACATTTTTTGTGCAAGCGATCGCTGAACTTTGCAAGATCCCAGATATGTTTCCCGCGTTCTTCGGTAGGAGTATGTGTTCAAGAGCAGGGCGTACGCTCCCATCTCTTCCGCGTTGGTTATGTCTGTCCTTGCGTGCATTTTGTTTCGCCACTGCTTTGCCACGCTTCTCTCTGATAAAGGCTACACCGCTGGCGAAATCGAAGCGGAACGCTCCGGTCGTTGGGGCAAGGTCGAGAACAACGGCGCTAGCACTCAACTTGTCGAGCCGCTGGCTCCCTCCTATCCACCCTCTTCTTCTCCAAACACGGGGGTCGACAGCAAGAACCTCGCCCGGCGTGCCTCGCACCCCCCCGCCGCTCGTCACAACTACGGATCCCCTTGCATCGGAGCCGATATTCGGAGCCTCGGCGGTCGCCGCGGTGCCCACGACGGGGATGTCCATGGTTCATCGTTCCTGCGGCCTTGCCAAACGCTGGAAGCGTGCCAGACCCGGGGGGGGAAGGCGGTCGGGAGGCGGCGTCGCAGCATCCCGGAGGCCGAGGTGGTCCGAGCAGCGCTGCACATGCTGGCGGGGCTTTCGGGAGACATCTTCGTGCGACGGGTTAGAGGCGACGCGTCGGACACCAGAGGCGAGCAGCTGTCGCAGCAAGAACGCCACCGTGCTGTCGGGGCGAGGGGCACCGGCGGTGGAGGGAGAACAGGCGGGGGGAGCAGGGGGCCCGGCGACCGGTGGGATGTCGTCTCCGGCAGCGCGAGGGCGCGGCGGGGTCAAGAATGGTTTTCTTTGAGCGAGTCGGCGGCGAGCGACCTCGCGGTGGCCAGCCTGTCCCCGGAGGCCCTCGCGGGCGTTCTCGGAGACCTCGTGCGGGTGGGCAGCACGGTGGAGTACCTGCGGGCCTTCGTCACCGACGCCGAAGGGTCGGCATCGGTCGCAGCGGAGGCGGCGGCGGCGGTTCTCCGCCAACGCGTTCCCCGTGGTGAGAGCAGCAGCAGCGGCGGCGGCGGCGGCGGCGCAAGCAAGCGCTACGGCAGCGGCGAGGAACGCGGCCCAGAGCACGGGCTCACGACGCAGGCGTTCGTGGCGTGCGTGAGACGCCACCTGGAGAGCTTCGAGGACACCGTTGCACGCCGGGACCGCTGGCTATACCGTCGCCAACAAGGACATGGGGAAGGACGAGACACTGCCGTCGAGCACGACAGCAGCAGCACCAGCAGCGGCAGCGGGGAGACAATCGTGGGTCTTCTCTCTCTGCTGCGACCGGAGGCTGAGAGCCTCGAACTCACCCGACAGCTGGTCGAGGACGGGGCCGGCTGGTGGGTCGCGACCCCTCCGGAAGAAGAAGAAGAAGGTGAATGGCCGCAGAATCGGCGGCGGCGGCGAACGGGTGCCGAGAGGCACGTGGGCGGTGGCAGCGGCGCGGGTCTGCACGAGCGGACGGGGCGGCTCCTCTCGGTGCTGCACGACGCCCTGGTGTCGAGCGCGCTCGTAGGAATCGGGCCAACCCCGCCAGAGAAGTCCCGCGGGGTCGGCGACACGGCAGCGCGGGCGCCTCGGCGACGCGGCTGGCTCTTGCACATGTTCTGCGAGGTTCTTGCCCCGTACCTTCGTCTTGTTGACTCCTGGATAACCGAGGGGCGACTTTTAGACCCCCACGGGGAGCTTTTCTTCTCCCGGATCGGCGGCGGCGGTGGTGCCGAAGGGCACGGCCGCGCTGCCGCCGCCGCCGCCGCCGCCGCCGACAATATTGGTGGTCACAATCGCCAAGCGACAGCTGTTGGTCGTGACCCTGTGGTGCACGTGTGGGACACGGGGATCGTGCTTCACTCGAAGGCCTTGCCGCCGTTCCTCGCGCCCCTGGCGCCCGCGGTGGCCCTGGCGGGACAAGACATCTCGCTGATGCGGAGGGTGAGGGCGCTCGTCGGGGGTGGTAGCTCTTCACCCGCCTCCCTCGGCGGCAGCAGCAGCAAAGACGCCGGCGGCTCCCGTCGTCCCGGGCCACCCCCGCCTCCTTCACGGAAAGCGAGGACGGGGGCGATGGCGTCCCCGGGGAGCGAGACCTTTTCGCTAGCGGAAACCCTCTCGGAATCTCTCCGTCGGCTTGCGGAACGCGTGCGGCGAGCAAACGACGCCGGCCCGTCGAGGAAGAAGGATCAAGACGATGGCGCCGGATGCACGGGAAGAGGCGACCGCCGTTCCGGTGGTGGAGGTGGCGGTGGCGGCGATGCTGCTGCTGCCACCGCTGCTGTTTCTCCGGTGTCCTCGTCGGGGCTGGATGGGATCATCGACCTCGAGGAGAGCCGCGGTGGGAAGGATGATCGCAGAAATAGCGCTAGCACGGAGAGCGAGGAGGGGGCCATGTCCCCGGCCGGAACAACCGGAGAGGAGGGTGTTACGACGGAGATGGGGGGAACAGAGGTAGAGGCCACTGCTGCTACTGAAACAATCCGCGGGAGTGGCAGTGTGTCAGCGGCTGCACCGGAAGGCGGGGAGGTCACTAACGGTTGCAGCGACGGTGGCGACAGCAGTGGCGTTGGTGTTGGAGGAGTTAGAGATCGACGCACTAGCAGCAGTGGGTTCGGCGATGGCGGCGGTGGTGGGCCGGCGACGCCACCGGACGTAGTTACCGAGGAGGCCTTGGCTGATGTTGGTAGCGATGATGGCGACGCTGCTACTGCTGCTGCTGCTGCGACGGCTGCAGAGGGAGCGAAGCAAGATGACGAGCTCGGTTTCTTCGGAGGGACGGCGCAGCTGGCCCTGAAGCCGGGCGCGATGTTTCAGCGTCCGCTGCACCCTTCCCTCGCCCCTCCCTCGCCCCCATCCACACGAGGACCGTCGCCGGCCGTCGGGGGACGGAGGATAGCATCCTGCTTCATCGCGGGTATGAGCCGCCGCGGCCGCGGGGGTGGTAGCAGCGACGTGCGCGGGGCGGGGGGGTACCCTGGTGGTGGTGGCGGAGAAGAAGACGAAGCGACCATGGAAGACGAGGTCGCGAAAGCGCTCCCGCCGACGATGGTCCTGGAGACATGCCTCCTGGGGGCCCTCCGGGAACACTGCCGGCTGGCCAGCTCGAGCTGCTTGTCTGTGTTCGCGGACGAGCTAGGCATTGTCAGCATTGCAGGTGGATGTTTTCAGGGGTCGTTGTCGTGGCTTGCATGCAAGGTGTCAGCTGTTGTTCTTTCTAAAGGGTGTCGTGGGATTATCGGCTAGGCGAATTTTGTTGTTTGTCAGCAGAGCGTGTGGAGACATGCCAACGTTCGGGGGTTCTCATTCATGCCGACACGGAGCACAGGCCGGGCCCTGCTTGGTTGGGGCTGAGATATGCGGTCACTACGCGTCGCTCACATGTCGACACGTTTACGTCAGTGTCGCCGCCCTCTCATGGTAGAAGAGTACACGGCAGCGGCGTTGGCTGTTGCCCACAGGTACTGTAGGCTTACGTTCTGTCGTATGATAGTTAAACACATTTTTTTGTTGGTCCCCCGACCCTTCCCGACCCTTCGTTTCTTTTTTTCCTCCTCACGGACGACACCCCCCGCCGGACCCGCCTACCTTGGATGTGAAAAACCGACGTGAACAGGCGTGCTGAGGGACGTCTACCTTTCTCCCGGCGGGGCCAAGACCGACGCCCCGCTTTCACGCTTCCGCGGGGTGCTGTTCGGTCTCCTGGGGGCGTTGCCTCTAACCACGGCCGCGGGGGGAGGAGACGGGGGCGGCTCTTCGCCAGCTGGTCTGTTGATGTTGGACGGGTTGGTGGTGCGTGATGTGCCCGCCTTCCTTCAGGTGGGTTTTCTTTCGTGAATAGGGCGTTTGCCGGTATGGGGGACGGGGGGGGGGGGGTCGTCTGGAGGGTGCGGTGATGATGATGCTGCTAATGTTTTCGCTCGTGAGAATACAAACGCCTTTCGCCGGCGTCTTCTTCTCTGTGTCGACAAAGACGTGGATGCCCACGAAACGAGCGACGCAATATACCGTACCATACCGTATACCGTAGATGTTTTCGGAACGGTGGATGTCGTCCTCTTTTCTCTTTACTCAAGCGAAGCACGTCTTCCGACTGACCAACTTCTTTACCCCGTCTACATTCGGCTTCGTCGTGGTCGTCCATCACTTGTCATTCTTTTGCGCCCGTACTGCAGGATGGGTCGCGACTCACGGCCCTGCTCCAATCCTCCCTGGCAATGTCGGGGGTCGAGGAGGGCTGCGGCGGGGGGAGAAGAAGAGACACGAGCGGCGCGGTCGGCAGCAGCGCAGGCGGACCGGCAGTGGGCCCTGGCAAGGATAGCGGGGGCTGGCTACGCTCGCCCGTGGCAGGCAGTGACCGCCCCCTCCTGGAGCACTTTTTGGTCGAGTGCCGCCCGGAGGTTGTGCGGGAGTGGAGGAGGGAGGGCGCAGGAGGTCAGCGCCGAGGATGCAGGCAGCGCGCCAGCAGCAGCGCAGTAAATGAATCTGCGGTGGCCGACGGCGGTGACGGCTGCGCCGCGTTTCCCCTCGCACGCGACGGGCGCTGCGTAGATCTTCGGGCGTTTTCCTGCCTTCAGGTGATTGCGTCTTGTCGTCTGACGCGTGGGGCGTGGGGCGTATGCGCGTCACTTTCGGCCAACGTGAACGCAACTCCTACACACGCCGCGTGCCCGCCCGCGCGGTGTCTCGCAAAAAAATTGGCTCGAGCCATGGGCGGGGTCGAGGCGCCCAGACGATGATGAAAATGGCGGTGACGACGATGGGTGATTGGTTTGCCAGGGCCGTCCCATTTCGTGCACAGTCTTTTCTTCCTCTATTTTTTATACTTGTATCCGCTGCCTTCAGAAACAGGCACCACCAGCTATGTCCAACAGGGAGGCAGAGAGACGATCTTCCCGAATCCCGCCTCCGCGTGGGTGCCGCTTTTAAGAGAGAGAAGCGCCCCGTTTCGAACCCCCCTTGCCACGACGCGCCGCCGAGAGCACACGAAGAGAAAGATAACCCCGCATTGAACGCCGCCCGCCCCGCTCCGCGTCCCCCCACCCATATCACGGTACCCAAGCGACCGCCACACGGCGTGCTTGAAGCTGTAACTGCTGTAGATCCAACGGAGTCGGTAGAATGCCGATAGGCACACAAGCATTCCAGCGAGCGAGCGAGCGCACACGACAATTTCACAGACATTAATTACTACCACCACTGCGGTGTTGCGCTTTTCTTTCTTTCTTCTGCCCCCACGCCTACACTGGCTGATGGAAACCGTGCACGAAAACAGTTGGAATGCCGGCTTCCCTGGCCCATCTCGGTGGCGCTCCCGCCTCGGTCGATGGACAAGTACTCGAGGACCCTGGGGCTGCTGCTCAAGCTGGAGTTCACAAACCACGTCCTGGAGGAGGCCCACGTTTTTCACAGGTAAAGGCGTAGGTAGGTATCGCTCTGTCGGGAAATATAGAGACCATTGGGGCAATCACATTAGCATTCGAATGGTCCTTATTTTATGTTTCCAAACAGAGTGGTGTATCTGTCTATCAGATATATATCTTTGTTTTTGGGGGGGGATCGGGGGGCATGGCGGCCCTCTGTTTTCTTTCGTTGATATGACACGTACGTAAATGGACGACGCAAAACGCCCATCACGAAGAAAGGTACGGGAGGGGTGTGTGTGGTGTAGCTCGGCCAGTGAAAGTGTGCGTACTGAAGCCTTTTTATTTTGGCACTCTGTCAACGACTCGTTTTTCATGTGTGCACCTTCAGGAGACGTGCACACTCATTATCATGACGCGTTTAGCCCAGTCGTGATGCTGCTGATTTTTTTTCATGCCTCGTTGCTCCCACCCGCCCTCCCGACAGACAACAAATTGTCACACCAACGACAATCTCCCACAACTGCGGTGCCCCCCTTTTCCCGATTCTCCCCCCGCGCTGCTCTGTCAGCCACGCGCAGCGGGATCGTTCGAGTTCGGAGGGAGAGCTGGACAAGCGGCACCTGCAGCATTGCAGGCTCTTCGCGTTCTTGCGAGTTGCGAGAGCGGTGCGAAGCTACGCCTTCACCCAGGTGTCGCTCAGCTGCTATGTAGCAGGACTGCTATGTAGCAGGAGTGGTAAATGGTACGAGTTGACCGTACACCGAGCAACTGCGTATGTAGACATCCAGCATAGCGACATCGACCGTTCGTTTTTTTGGACAAACACTGCTCCGGCAGGATATTGGACCACCACTCGTACGTGTAACTAACCCCGGAGGGACTTCTCCGCCGGATACTGTTTTCCTTTGGTTCCAATCTCGGTCCACGTTCAACGCTGCCTTTGGGTTGTATGCGAAGATCACGAAGAAGAAGGAGCGCAAGAAGAAGTCCCACTTTGCAACTTGACCCCCGCGCTAGCTATTCTTGGCTGGAAGCAAGCATGGCTCCAACCGAGAACAGGTGGTCGAGAAACGCTCAAGAATAAGGTAGAAATTGCTTTGTTCGATTTTTTTCATTTTTTCGACATTGCTGCTGCTGTGTGTACAATATACATGGAACATGGCAGGCGTTGGTGAAGCCATGGGCTGCGTTCGAGGCGCGGTTACCCCTGTGCGACTCTCTTCGGAGCTTCGTCCGACTCCACGAGGCCTACCTTGATCTCATCCTCGAGAGGTACTGCTGTACAACTCATTGCACCTTTTCTTGATTTCGTGCGTCGAAGCGACAGCTCTCTCTCTCTTGGCTGGTCAAGAACATCCCATGGAACATTCCATGGCATAAAACAGAGTGCGAAACCTGTCGTTCGGGGATCAAGGCTTTTCGGACAGTGCCCCCCCCCCCGCCCTGCCCCGTTCTAACGACAACGGCAAGCACGGCTAGAAGTACACCCCCGCCCGCCCCCGCTTTGTACAACCCTGACGTTGTCCTTCGGACATGCACCATTGGTCAAGAGAAGGTTGTGTTGTGTCCCTTTGATCTGTTGAATGCGGGTGTTGTCCTAGAGAGAGAGGAGGTCGGAGAGTGAGAGAAGAGGCCGCCTGTTATATTGGTGCTGCGTAATTCTGTTCTTCCTTCTTGCCACTCTCGTGCCTTTGTTCAGAGAATTGAGTCCTCTGCTGTTGTGCCCTCTTCCTTGCGTAGTTGGCGCGGGGAGAGCAAGCCTTGGCGTAATGTTCGCTCTAAGGCTCGCACGTTCAATTGTCCGTCCGGCTGGCGTATCGCTCTGGCTCTCTCCTTGATTGTTGCGTTCGCTTGCGCGTGGGGGGCTGGGGGGTGGGGGGGCAGGTGTTTCTTGCTGCCGCGCACGAGACAAACGCTGGCGTACCTGCTCGACGCCCTGCAGGCTGGCATCGCCTTCTCCCAGAGGTAACGTAACGCACAGCAACTAGTGTCCTCTGCCTTGCTTGCCTGTTTGGCGTCGTCCTTTCCGTTGTTTCTCTTGTTGTTGTTGTTGTTGTTGTTGCTGGTGACGGTGGTTGTAATTGTTGTTGTTGCTGTCGCCGTTGTTGATGTTATTGAAACTTGGTTCTATCATTATCGTTGTCCGTGTTTCATGTCAACTTTCGTAGAGTCCCTCGCGGATGAAACGTGCAAGGTTACGGAGCAATGCAGCATTTCTCAAGAAAGCTCGCGTGCTCGGAGTTACCCCTGAGTCTGGTCGCCCCGTCCTCCTCCTCCTCCCGGCTGATCGCGCAACTATCACGACCAAGTCGAGTTATGCGAAGCTTCCGCACGTAGGCCCCTCTCTCCCGCTCTCACCCCCGCCTCCTTCCTTTCCCCGCTCTCGACACACGAACTACACGAACACGAGATACGGGGAGTATGTCATCCAGCTTGATGACCGATCCGGAAGATCGTCTGACGGGGCATCGGAGACGAATAGCGGGTTCACCCAGGGTCCTAGCGCTGTTCGCGGGGAGGAAGATGGGGGGGGCAACGGGGGCGAGGGGGGGGGCGAGGCGTGCAGGGAGTCTTTGAAGAAGCTGGACGAGCTGTGGGATGACCTGGTGTCGGCGCTTGGTTTCGTAATTCCGCTGCTCAAGGAGGTCGGTCCGCTATACTATTTAGCTCTTTCCTCGCTGAAACAGCTGCTGCTGTTGCTGTTTATTCTGTTGTTGGCACACCGTAGAGTTGTTGCAATTTTAAAAGTATCTTCCGTACCCCCAACCCCTTGTCTTTTATCCCGTACACTCGTTGGTTGCCCGAACGATCGGTCCGCTGCATAGAACCTGGGATTGCTAACAAAAACTCCAGATGACGGTGTGTCATTGGCCGATTCGTCCCTCGGCGCTCGTGCCGCGTCACTCTCATGCCTCTATAGGGTTGTTCCTACGTGTGACGTTGACAATGCGTCGACCTGCTCCTTTCTTCTCCCCTCCCTCCTGCCCCCCATCCGGTTCCATTTGCGCCTCGATTTTTTTTTTGCGCCATGGTATGCATACGGTACGGTACGGGCGGCTAAATAAACAGATGGTACGTTCCAGGAGCGCCGTCTACGTCAACGAGCTGCTCACGGAGCTCGAGTTCAACCACTTCTTTGAGCGTCAAGAGACGTGGAGGGTGGAGAGAAGAGCCCCCCGTGTCTAGTCCAGGGCTCTAGCTGTTTAGCACTTATCCTGACCGCTCGCAGTGAGAGGCTACAATGACCTTGGTTGCGTTGGAAACTTAGTGTTAAGTGTCGTTGAAACGAGCGTGCGAGGGCCGCTAGGGTGGCCTCTTTGGCTCGGATTTCGCCACGGCAGCTGGGTTAGCTGGGCTTGCCACCGCGTATTCTTGGTTGTTTCCCGCGAGCGGTGGATCGTGATGCGTTTCGTAGGCCACGATGACAGGGGCAGTCGGCGGGTGCAGAGAGTGGGTGCGTGCCTGGACTGTGATGAGAGAAAAATACCAAAGAAAAACGGTCGGCAACTTCGCCTCTGTTCAAGCGATAACACGTTGGACTGGATGGGGGCAGTCAGCCCATGCCCCATGCCCCATGCCCCATACATACCCTCGAACGAATCGAAACGGTCAAGACAGAGTGTCTCATGAAGCCTGCAGAAGTGCGCTGTAGGCACGCTGCATGTGTGTTTTGTCTGCGCGCATGATGCACTGAACAGAAACAAATCCGGCGGAACCGTGCTTACTGATCTTTGTCAATGGCGATCATGACGTCACGTACGTATATATCCAGATGGAGCACCGCTGAGACGTTGCCAAATCGTTCAACGGAATTTTACGTTTCAGTGCGTAGTAGACACACGTGGCTGCGTGCCATTTTCGAAACTTTCAGCGGCTGGTCAAGATTTTTCATGTACATATTCGACGCATGGCGTCGTCTACCTTGAAGGAATATATACCACAACAACGCGAAGGGTTTCTATGCAAGCTACAAGGCGAGAACGCCGCCCCCCCCACCTTCGCAAAACAACTAACACCACCACCACCACCACCACCACCACCATCACCAACGTAAGTTGAGGCCAAACACAAGCCAATTTCTTCTTCTCGTTGGCCGGTCGTCCTCAAGGACGGCAGTCGCAACCACAACACAACAACAAAAAAAGGGCGAAAAAAAGGCATGTTCCCCCGGGAGCTGTGGTGCCCCCCCCCCCCCCGGAAGGCCGGGGACGCGGGCGATTTTTGCCCCTGGGGGCAACTTTCTTAACCCCCCCCTTAGGGAGGGAGGGCCCGTGCCCCGCCCCCCCTTTTGCCCCCGCAAACCCACCCTTGAAAAAAAAAAGGGGGGCCCCCCCCC